ATATATATGTATGTATGTATATATATATATATATATATATATATATATATACACATATATATATTTATATATATACATATATACATATATACAGCATGTATATATATGTATACAGTCGAGCTGGTATTTTTAAAAGCCACGCATATATATATATATATATATATATATATATATATATATATATATATATATATATATATATATATATATATATATATATATATATATATATATATATATATATATATATATATATACTTGCTTCCTGATTGTCCAAACAGTATCCAGACTGCCCATAAGAGAATACTTGGTGACTAGAATGGGATGTCCTGACTGGTAGACACCGGTAAAGGGTAGGTTTTAAATAATATGTTATGACCAGCTTTTTTGTTGTTGGTTGTTTGGTTTGTTATGGTATTGTTGCAACTTCCTAATAAGGAATAAAGAAGACTGCCAAAATCTGGTCTAAAAAGTTTTACCAGACATCTTAAACTAGATTTAGATGGTGAGCAAAAGTTAGCATTGAGAATAAAGGAGCTACTGATTTTTAATTTCTTGCATTCATGAGTCACAATAGCATATCACTGGCTTCTTCCTCCTTTTGCTACCCACGTTGCAACACAATCAGGCCTTTTCTACGCTGCAGGAGGATCTGATTAGCTCTATCATCATTTTTAACTTAAAGAGCACATTGCAGGTTAGAGACTCCCATAAACCAATGTTTAGAGAAATATAATAGAAACTTGTTTTAAACATTTTTTTACACAAACATAAATTATTTAGGCTTTTAGAGTCTTTTTGTGAGAAAGTTTTTTTTTTTTTGGCTAAACCAAGTGGCGTCATCTGAAGGAGTCCTGTTAGCTTAATCCAGAGAAAAATATAGATTCCAATGCTGGCACTGACACAGAGGAAACTTTAAACGTTTACAATTATACCCATGTTGGACCAAAACCATAAAGTTATGAGTTTGCTGTACGTCCCATAGGGCAGAGACAAACCAGAGGGAGAAACCATCGGCCAAAGCAGATAGATTAAGGAGGAGCAGTAGCAGGGGAGCAGCAGGGGTCTGGTGAGTGAACCATGTTAGCTTAAACTCGTGCGCTAACATCTAAATATTGTACAGACTACTATCGTGTACCAGACAATTAAAATAATATCGGTCAGTTAATATAATATTAATACTAATGAGCGTCTGTCAGCGGTCTCATACACGCTAATATCCGTTCACGTATCGTAGTTTAGCTTAGAGAGAGGGAGAGAGACGCCTGTCATCTGGTTCTGGAGCTCATGCGGGCGTCTGTGAGCTGGATCCCACCCAGACACCAGCGAGCCAGTTGAGCAGATATTTTTAAAAGCTGCACATGATCCTTCCCTAGAGGTCCACGGTGGTTCTGAGCTGGTTCCGACCCAGAAAGCTTGCTCGGCTGGTCCACTGAGCTGAGAGCGAGATGCCTGTGATCCGGTTCTGGAGCTCATGTGGGCTTCTGTGAGCTGGATTTGACTCAAACACGAGCGAGACAGTTGAGCTGGTATTTTTAAAAGCCACGCATCCTCTCCTGGTGGTCCAGGCAGCGGTTGTGATCCGATTCCAACCCGGAAACCAGCTGGCCCGCTGAGCTGCGCGTCTCTTCTGGTGGTCGGTTCTGACCTGGTTCTGACGGTGATCACAGTTCCAGAAATCCGTATAAAAAAATTTAAACCCCGCCACTATCCTAGACAGCTTTGCTCCTGTTTCTTTGCCTGAGTTAACCAAACTAGTTAACTCTATGAAGACCTCTGCATGCCCCCTCGACATCTTACCCTCATCTTTGTTTAAAAGTGCTTTTCAGTCCATCGGTCCCAGCGTGCTCTCTATAATTAATGCTTCTCTGGTTTCTGGTCAGGTCCCTGCTTACTTTAAGAATGCTGTAATCCACCTGCTCCTTAAAAAAACGAGTCTCGACCCCTCTCTCCATAGCAGCTTCAGACCCATCTCTAAACTTCCGTTCATCTCCAAGATCTTGGAAAAGGTTGTGGCTAAACGACTCACAGCTGCTCTTGATGAACATAACATCTATGATAGCTTCCAGTCAGGTTTTTGTAGAGATCATTCAACTGAAACCGCTCTTCTTAGGGTCTCTAATGACCTTCTGACTCACAGTGATGCAGGGGACCGTTCTGTTCTAGTCCTGCTGGACCTGACTGCAGCCTTTGACACTGTTGACCATCACCTGCTACTGGAGAGGCTGAGAGACTGGGTAGGCCTATCAGGATCTGCTCTGGAGTGGTTCTCCTCTTATCTCTCTGAGCGCTCCTTTTCTGTGGCCGTCTCCAAGTTTAGGTCCTCCACCACCTCTTACCCATGGTGTCCCACAAGGTTCTGTGCTGGAGCCTCTGCTCTTCCTCCTCTATCTGCTTCCTCTTCAGCACATCCTGAGCTCCTTCAAAGCAATCTCCTACCATCTTTATGCAGATGACATCCAACTGTACATCTCCTTTAAGCCCCATGAGATGTCTAAGCTGCAGCTGTTACACACCTGCTTAGACTCTATCAAAACCTGGATGGCTGGGAGTTTTCTACAGCTGAATGAAGATAAGACTGAGATCCTTATCTGTGCCCCAGACAAGCTGGTTCCCAAAGTCAGAGACTCTCTTGGTCAGCTTGCTTCCCACACCAAACCTTCTGTCAGGAATCTTGGCGTGACCTTTGGCCCAACTCTCACCCTGGATTCTCGTGTCAGTTCTCTTGTTCGCTCTTCCTTCTTCCATCTCAGGAACATTGCTAAGCTGAGTCCGATTCTGTCCCGCTCTGAACTTGAGGCAGTTATCCACACCTTCATCTCCTCACACTTAGACTACTGTAACTCTCTTTTCACGTGTCTGAGCAGAACCTCCCTGAACCGTCTACAGGTGGTTCAGAATGCCTGTGCTCGGCTTCTGACCAAGTCCTCCAAACACACCCACATCACCCCGCTTCTCCTCCAGCTTCACTGGCTGCCAGTCAACTTCAGGGTTCATTTCAAGATCCTGGTTCTGGTCTATAGGGCCTTACATGGACAAGCACCATCTTACATTGGTGATCTTCTCAGTCCCTACACCCCCAGCAGGTCCCTGAGGTCCAGTGATCAAAGCCTACTGGTTGTGCAGCGCACCAGGCTAAAGACCAAAGTTGACAGATCATTTGCTGCGGTGGCCCCCAGACTCTGGAACCCTCTCCCCCTGAGCCTGAGATCAGTGGACTCAATGGTCTCCTTCAAAAAGCAGCTGAAGACTCACCTGTTCAAGCTGGCTTTTGTATGACCTTCTTCACCACTCTCTCTTTATTCTGCTCTCTCCACCTATTCCACCGTCCTCAGGATCCACTAATTTCCCTCTTTCCTATTCACTCTCTCTCTTTCTTAACGTTTTTAAATCGCAATTGCTTATTTTTGCTCATTTAAAATATATTTTTAAACATTTTCTAAATGCTTTTTTTATATTTTTACATTTTTTTTTATTTTTTGTTTTTGTTTTTGTGAAGCGCCTCGTGATTTTTATATTGAGAGGCGCTATAGAAATGATATTTTCTTCTTCTTCTTCAGGTCGCCGGAACCCAGCACGGACCTCCCTGTCCCGGTACCGACTGATGCGGGCTACGGAAGTCCGTCTTTTCAGCTGCACAAAACGCCCTCAGGCACGGTGAGAGGTGTTGTTTCTCTTGTCTGGAAACCCGGGGACTTGATGTCCGGACACGCTGGAGTTGGTACAGCCTTCACACACTATAGTTTATCAACATGAACTCAACTCAACACTAGTAAACACACTCACACTGACTGGTTAACAGGACGTCTCTACCCTAAAACTAGCCACTCTCCACACTGTGCTGAGGCAGCGCCGAGCGTCTAACTCCCTTTGGTTATGTCAGAGGCTCAGATTTAGAAAAAAGCTTTGCTGAGAAAGGCCACGTTCTACTAGAAAACTCTGCTGTTATGTATTTTAAAACCAAATATCCACAAGAAGCTTTTTAAATAGTATTTTTTTGATAGTATTTTAGATGAATTAGAAAAATAATTTAACCTGCGATTTGCTCTTTAAAGTACACGTTTCTTTCCTTCATAACTACATAACAAATCATGATCAACTCTTTATGTAATTCCCTCCAAAGGACTAAATTTTGTTAAAACTTCAACATTTTAGTGTAGCTGATCTGGAGAGCTAACAGAAGGACGCTCCGCTTTATTTCCCCTTGTGTTCTCCAATAATTGGCTCCTCTCCCAGTCCTCCACCAAGCCTCGTCTCTCCTCTCACGTCCCTGAGAGTGGCGGTGGGAGTGAGAAGCAAAATGAAATCCTTGTGTGGTTTGAAGCTCCACTGTCTCAATAGATGGAAACCTCTCCCTTTTCTCTTCAATGCTCTGGAGACAGACGAGGACGATGGAAAACACGTGTAATGACTTATTCTGGCTGACTTGGCCTTGATTCGGCCAAGATTGGTTGCAGATGGTAGGCCGAGTCGCTCCCTCTCCATTACCGAGGGGATGGTTTGGAGACACCGAATACAGTGGAGCACTCAGTTCCTTGTTTTGTTTTGTAAGCCCCATTGGGAAGACGACTGGCAGGCTAAACTCGTGCTGAACAAAATAAGAGGGTGTGTAGTGGACGAGCAACTCGGTATTCTTCATGTGGTTCAAACAGAACAGGTGTAATGTTTGTTGGGTTTGATTTAGAAGGCAGCATTAATGATTCACAAGCTTTAGTCACTTTTGGATCTTTACAGCTTCATGAAATATTCATGCTGCTGAAATTGAACAGTTAGTGGATATATACGCAGGTTCTCTTTGTCTAGCCTTGTTTGTTTTGCAGCAGGGAGCGACCGTGTTCACGCGGTTTAGGAAATCAAAACAAAACATGTCGTATAAAAGGCTCTTTGGTCTTAAGCAGCACATTCCAGGCACCATCCCACCCCTACACGTCCCTCAATCACTGCACATATCTCAGGCTTGTGTGTTGCACCTCGACTGTAACCGTGATGAAAGACATTACCTTGGGCGATGTAGGGGGTTTTACTGTCCTTCACCTGCACACCCTCAGGCCGGGGTGTAGGTGCTGGCGGGCGATTGGCAAGGACCATGGCTCTCTTTGGAATTTCAACAGAATTACAGTCATTGTCCTTTCCTAGCATCGTGTAGAGATCATCATCACCCCCCTTTTGGTCCTCATCTTGAGGCTGTTGGTTTATACCTGTGATAGAAAGATTCCCAAATGTGTTTGCTGCATCATTGCTCTAGCTTCGTAATGTGTGCACTTGTGCTGCGTGATGTCCCCATCTGCCAGGGGAAACTTTTCATTCATGCTACAAACAGAAAACAAACACATTTTACCAGCCCCTCACTCACCTGCATTGCACATCATCTCATAGATGCTGCCATCACTGCGGCCCCCATCTGTGTTGAACGTTTTCTGTTAAAGGTTGAGCGTAAAGAGATGTTTTTTAATGCCTCTCACAAATCACAAAAAAACAGCTCAAGAGATTGCCTGTCAGGAAGAAGGGTATGAAAAATTGATTACACGATAGCAAAAAATGCATTTAGGGATTTAGTGAAGGCAACTTGAAGTTTTAACTGAACATCAGAACAAGAAAAAAAACAGGATTCAAGTGACTGTTTACATGGTATTCTTATATTACTGGATGTATCAAACTCCATGTTGGCAAGAAAAATTGTAGTGTTCCAGACCTACTCCTTCTTTAGTCCCATCAGACCAAAGGGGGTGGGCGTGGGTATGTCAGAGCGTTGGTGTGACGTGGGATAGCAATTTAAGCTATGGATCTGGCATTCATTCAAATTCTGGATATTTTCAGTACATACTGCAACGTGAGTGCTCCAACATTCTTCTTTGCAGTTTATCTCTCATTTAACAAGGATGTTAACAGTAGCTTGGGCTAGCATTAGCGGTAGTTTAATGTAGCCTAGCTAGCATTAACATATATATTTTAATCATATAACTTTTTTTTTTTGTTCTTGTGAAGCACCATGTGATGTGTGTTATCAAGCTGGCATTAGTAGTATCGTGACCTAACATTAGCTATAGCTTGGGCTAGCATTAGCAGTAGCTCAGACTAGCATTTGCAGTAGCTCAGGCTGACACTAGCAGTAGTGTGAGTGACCTAACATTAGCAATAGCTTGGGCTAGCATTAGCAGTAGCTCAGACTAGCATTTACAGTAGCTGAGACTAACATTAGCAGTAGCTTGGGCTAGCATTAGCAGTAGCTCAGATTAGCATTAGCAGTAGCTCAGGCTTGCATTATCAGTAGCGTTACCTAACATTAGCAGTAGCTTGGGCTAACATTAGCAGTACCTTGTCCTGCTGGAAAAACCGTCATAGACCAGCATAGTTGGTTACGGTCATATGTTGTGTTTTTGGTGCTGGTTTCAAATGTTGGCCAAGCTTGAAAGTCCAGCATACCAGAACCAAAATACATAAGCTGGTAAGCAGCAATGCTGATCTATGCTGGTGTTTCAGCAGGGCCAGCTAACATTATTCTACATTTACCATTACCTTGACCAACGTTTATATATTTCTGATGTTGAAGTGGGTTGGGATGAGTTAATTTAAAGGTGTAATCGTTCCAAGAATGTCATCAAAGTGTTAAACCAGCTTTCTCAGAAACAACCATTTCTTTGTGGCCATTACAACTTTACTAATTTGCAAAGGAAATCAGGTCAGAGACAGCACAGATGCTACATTAGACCACCAAAGCTGCCTATTTTCATCAACAAGGTAAATATGGGTTTAAATTCTAGAACACTTTTATGACAAGAATAAAGGAGCTAACCTAGTACCAGCCAGGTGTACCAACTGAATGTCAAATATAAATAATGTAGAATTATACTTTGGTACATTTGTGTCAGTATATAAAATAATTTTGTTTTCTTTTTATTATTTGCAATTATCACAGTGGAGGCTGATTATTTTGATAATACTATGCCTGCAGGATCTCTAAAAGAGCACCCAGCCATACCATGCTTTAATGTTCTGTGTTGTCATGTCACTTCTGATGTTAATTAAGATTTCTCACTTCCTGGCAGAATCTCTAAAGACAATGTGTGAGAGGTGATCTGTAACGCTGCCCGCTGGATAACACAAAGCTTTTTTCACGTTAACAACAGAGCCGCCGCAGAGTCGGCGTATTTGCTAATTGCATGCTGGGAGACAGACAGGGGCACGATCAGGGTAATTATGAAATCAGACAATCGTCCCCTTTCAGTTCAACCATATCATTTAGGAAGCAACTCAAGACCCTTGGCTTGATATCCAACTGTGCCCATAATTACAGCGAGATGCGGTTAATAATCGACTGCAATGTTTTTGCTGCTGATGGACGTGAAGACGTACAGAGTTTCACCATACAGGGATTTTACATTTTAAAAGTTTAATCATCACAAAGAGCCAGATGTGTAATATAATCTCTCTGACAGCTGCTTGAACACACTCCAGAAGGCTCCGTCACAACACATCAGAATTATGTTTGATTCTTTAGTTAATTTATACATTTCCAGTCCACTGACAGCTGTGTAAAGCTGCAAAATACATGAGATATTGCTCACTTGGATCAGACTATCACCATCCAGCCCGCTCGCTCTGTCTGCCGTTTCTAAGCAACGCAGCCAATCATGACTCAATTACAATGTTGTACCGTTCCTAGAACTGCAAATGAGGTATTGGCTGCCATGAATGTATTAATTGACAGTTGAGATTCTTTGCAGGCCCAACAGGTTGAAGGGGAGAGTTATTCACAGCCGCTCGAACGTTGAATTTTAATAGTCAGCCTAGTGTGGCATTTTCAGAGGCAAAATGTGAGCGGAGGATGTATGAACTGCAAAATAATAAATCATTTCACAGATGTGTGGAAACTCTGGAGAGTCATTCCAGTGCAAAGCAGCAGGGTGTCAGATGAATCAACAGGCATGCTTTCATTAAAAGAGAAGACATCTTAATAATGTCTTGCAGCTATAAAATAAAGTGTAGAATTGACTTCAGCAACTGGATCGGTCAGTTTAGAAGCAGCATGCAGGTTTTTGTCATTTAAACACAGCTGTGTCTGAATGAGCAGTTGCACCTATAAAACAAGTGGTGAAACCATAATCTGTTGTTTTTTGTGTCGGCAAATGAGAAAACAGCTCAGCAGACAAACTGATGTTTCACACTTACAGAACAACAAAACTAACACGTATTATTGGCTTTAAAAGCTCCCTGAAACCTAACACGTAGCAGTTAAAGCTTTATTCTGCCTTGCTGCCTACATGCTAAAACCTTTAGCATGAAGCATTCACCAGATTTATTTAAAGAAGTGGAACACTGAGAAAATGTAGTAAATCATATTTCTGATTATAATGGGTCACTCTTAGCTGAACATGAAAATAGTCTCCTACACCTTTTTTCCGCATTAGCTTCTGATAGAAAACAGACGGTGAAACTCTAGGATTAGAAAAGCCTGACAGATCTACGTCACACTGTCACTTAACGTTCATGGATTCACCCATCTTGACTCACGACGGGGGAGGCTGTTGTTGGGTTAGCGTCCAGGAAACAGGAGAGAATGTCTCTGCTGAAGCTAAATGTTAGCAGCTCCGCCACGCAGCAGAATTCCTCCAGGCTTGTGTTATTTGTGGAGATTAAACATCAACGTTTCTGAGCAAACAGAGTCAGTGGTAGAGTCGTGTTGCTGTTAGCCAATCAGAGGACAGATGTCCGAATATCAGGAAATAAGGCTCCAAATCCTGCTGTGTGAAGCTCAGCTTTCATGTAGATCGCTTCTAGTTTCTGAAACAGGCACATTGGTGCTTTTTTGCCCCGAGTGCGACTTACAAGTCGCTCATTCCTACAAGAGACCACTGAAAATGTGTTGATTAAATGAGTGCTTAACTAGTCATTCAGCCCATGCCTCTCACCTGACCATTACAGTACAATGTGATCAGGGTCTGGTTCAAGTTTTCGGTGATAGAATACTAGAGAAATGAGTGTCACAATCACCTTTAAAATATAATATGAATCAAAATAGTAAATTATGGTTGCCCTAATGATACAGCTTTCAAAAAAGTCACATTTCTATAAAACATGTCATCCTTTTTGCATTTAGCTGACCAGGGCCAGCCTTCAACTTTGACCAGTGAGTAAGTTTGACACCCTGAGCTCATGTTTGTAGTTTCAGTTGATAATCTAATTTAATTAATTATTTTAAAATATAATGTATGTGCCTCAATGCATTATATTTGACATTGGTATTGGATTAGGTATCAGATTCAGGTGAAGAAATCTAATACGAGTTGGTTGTCGAAGTTCTTTCTGTGGTGATGCAGCACAAGTTCTTCCTTGGGTCTAGGAGTTCTCTTATGCATCAATAAAACAAATGTCTCATTTGTTGTAGACATATTTTCCATCTTCTGCATCCTAAAATGTCTAAACTCAGAAGTGGCACAGTGTTTCATGCAAATACTATTTTAAAACATGTTCACTTCAGCAAATTTTGTGTCACATTATTATCCCATCAAAAAAGATTATAGAAATCTGGCCAATAATGTTACAATCTAACCCTGAGCTAATAACGGTTAGTTAGCTTCTACAGTTTGGGTGTGGGGCGGGTGGTTCTAATGCTGCTTTTGTGGCTGTGTACATGGTAAAAATGGTAAATGGCCTGTATTTGATATAAAGGCTTCTAGAGTCCTTGAACCCTCCAAGGCGCTTTACAACACAATCAGTCATTCACCCATTCACACCCTGGTGGTGATGAGCCACACTGTAGCCACAGCTGCCCTGGGGCACACTGACAGAGGCGAGTCTGCTCTACACAGAGGCCACCGTTCCCTCCAACCACCACCAGCAGGCAAGGTGGGTTGAGTGTCTTGCCTCATGACACGACAGCAACAGACTGAGCAGGCCTCAAACCTGCAACCTTCCAATTACGGGGTGAGCACTTAACTCCTGTGCCACCGTCCCCACTATGTTTATTAATACGTGAACTACAATGACGTCAATGACATTAGGAATGTACATGCCAATCAACAACGCTCGAACATTTAATAGTTATAAATATTTTGTGGAGAGTAAAAACAACAATGAAGTGGTTCTCTCTCACATTCGTCTAAAAGCCTCAGCCAGTTACATGGCTCTGTCCGATTGGACCATCCGGTGGACTGTCTCACCGGACCACCGCATTTCCACATTTACCTGGGTCCTCCGCTGATAACATGCAACGCCATCACCGTTACTGAGCAGGTGAAGCGATACGTTACTACAACGTAGTTGAATAAAGCGTAGCAGTATCAGGCTTTCTGACAGCCACACTAGTGATGTGTCGGTCACGAATGAAACGGCTCTGTACCCGCCCCTCCATCCCTCCTGCTCCGAGCCTCTGACAAACAACAAAAGTGTACACACACAAAAGTGTGCATGGCGTGCACGCTTGTGTCTGAAATGTTCTTTCTAGATAGTAAGATTCATTAAGTTAAAAAATATCTGATGTAATAGATAATTTAGAGCGTAACTGCATTATAGAACATAAACATAACATCACAGCTACTTTGCTATGTAACTAATCACTTTTACAATGTGGTAACTGAGTCTCTAACTCAATTACTTTTTGAAAAAAGTAATTTGTAACTAAAACTAATTACTTTTTAAATGTAAGATGCCCAACACCGCAGATAACAAAAGACATTTGGACCTAGAAAACAGTAACTGTATTTTGCACGTACCCATATCAGGGGGCGTGGCCTAAGGATGATAATAAAAGGGTAAGAGTTCTGTTATCATGTTGGAGTTTAACGAAAGCTTGTTTTACAGATTTGCCATTGCACCTTTGAGATTAATGTTATTTTAACCACTTTATTTTTGGCCTGGCTCTAGCTATTAGCTTAGCAATCGTCTCAGAAGTGTTCTCTGTTTCTCCAAACAGAGGATATTGAAAGGATAGTGACTGCACAACAGGTAAGTTTCCAACAGAAGATCTGAACCCAAACGAAGAAACACTCTTCTGGAAATGTTCAGACAAAAGCCTAAAAATTAGTCAAAAAGAAGCCAACTTGCAAAGAAAATTCTTTAAAAGCCTTTAAACCTACTGATTTAAACCACTTTAACAGCTTAAAAAGAGTTTTACACCATACTTAGGTTAGGCATCTTATATTTAGAAGGTTTTTAAGAATTCCTTTTTGTTAGCCTATGAGGTAGCTTCTAAAATTCCCATGGTCTAAAAGTTCACAAGAAACAGTTAGATTTGTATAACAGAACAGTTTTCCTCAAGAGCAGTGACGCCACCATTCAAATGATAAACAAATGTCTGGGTTTTGACCAGCTTGATGATGCAGGAAAGAAAGAAAAACGGCATGCAAAGTTGGGCCAGTCTCAACACAAAACGCCTCATTTACAATTCCTGAACTTCACACACACATGCACATAAAGGGCTGTTCTGTTTCCAGAGAAACCCCTACAGTTATACAGTCATTTGTGTTTATGTAGAGCACGCAGAAAACACTGTCAGTCCATCAGAAAGTGACACTTGGACGAATTTACGACCTGCTGTGGTAAACATTTAAAAAAAAACGCACTTTTGTGTTGGTAATTTATGGTGCGTAATAATGCATTCTGAGGACATCAAAGTTACTGATTAGAACGGAGCATTTTCTATATTTGTATTCTAGCTCTGTTCTCCCTGAATAATTCAGCTTTCCCCGCCGGAGCGGTTCACAGCTAATTAACAAAGAAGTGTGAAGTCAGGGCAGGCAGTGGATGTGACGCAGGCCCTGTGAGTGATTCAGCCTGAGTCTGAGGCAGGGGACTGATCCATCTTGGATTTATTGACAGAGTGCTGCTCCACCAGCGCCCGAATCACTGACGCATTAAGGGCTGATTAATTAGAGGTTGGGGGAAACAACTGCAGCTAAGTTAATGAAAAGTGCAGGCACTCACCTCACAGGCATGACGCTTCCCCACTCCTTCACAAGCACAGCCTGTAAATACATTTTCCATTCCAAAATGACTCCTAATTGCTCTTAAATAAGATGCAAAGGAACATCAGGTGCTCCTTTATGTGGGATCTGCTGAGTTTGCAGCTGTAGGCTCGTTGACGTTCTCATGGAGGGACCTCTGATTGACAATTGCTCCCATGTCAGCTCATTCCAGGCTTGCAGCAAGCAACTCACTACAGAAGTCTGATCAAATCATGCTCAGTCTGCAGTCACTCTCAGTTAACAGTGTTGCTAGGATGATAGTTCATTGCAACAGCTGTTAGGGTGTCTAAACTTCCCTGGAGGACAACTTCTCCATATGCTGACCAGAGACATCAGATGAAAAATAAATTAAGAATGTGCTAATAGGGCAAAATGGAGATGAAACCAGAAACACATGGTGAATATGAAACATTTTGAAGATCATCACCAAAAGCTGTTTCCACTATAGGAGTTCTTATTGAAAACATTTGAGGGAGGGAGGGAGAACTATGAAAAGGTGCTATACACATTCAGGCCATTTTTTTACCATGTTCAGGTACTCTATTAGTCCCTGAAATGGCCCAGAACATGGTTCTTTGTGCTGACCCTGTGAAATGGAGATGCAAATGCTGTGAAGGTCCAATTACTGAGAAATTTCAACAGTGGAAACAGGCCTAAAGTGACAAATATAAGTAGAGAAATCACACACTGTCTTTTTTTGTTTTTCTTTTTTTTATTTTTTTTTTTCTTGTCATTCACAAAATATATCTAGAATGCTAACTACTGGCCCGAAATCTTTGTTTGAGAATTTACAATTAGCAGCTAAAAAGCTGATAAGTTACTGGGTGGATTTCAGAGGGACTCGAGTCACATGACTTGGACTCGAGTCATTATTTTAATTACTTCTGACTTGACTTGATATAATCTATAAAAATGGTAAATGGCCTGTATTTGATATAGCACCTTCTAGAGTCCTGGAACCCCCCAAGGCGCTTTACAACACAACCAGTCATTCACCCATTCACACCCACATTCACACACTTCTGGTGATGAGCTACGATGTAGCCACAGCTGCCCTGAGGCGCACTGACAGAGGCGAGGCTGCCGAGCACAGGCGCCACCAGTTCCTCCGACCACCACCAGCAGGCAACGTGGGTTAAGTGTCTTGCCCAAGGACACAACGACAGCGACAGACTGAGCGGGGCTCGAACCTGCAACCTTCCGATTACGGGACGAGCACTTAACTCCTGTGCCGCCGTCGCCCACAGACTACATATATATAATCTATAAAGACTTACGACTTGACTCGGACTTGAACACCAATGACTTGCGACTTGAATCGACTTGCATCTGTTGACTTAATGATGACTTGAGCATATTTGATATTTTAGCACAAAAGTGGCACGACATGGACAAAAATCATAAATCATTCTTCGTTCTGGGTTTGAAGACTAAATGCAGCAGCAGTTTGTTTATTATCAGTTTCAGTTGCACTTTCTGCTTGTTTGAGCAAATAAATGAAGCTTTAAGAAGCTTTATTTCTGGAATTTATTTATTATAATTGTCATTTAATTGAAGTTGGACAGATGACTTGATTATGACTTGAAAATTCAAAGTTAAGGACTTGGACTTCCAGGTCATTGACTTTGGACTCGACTTGCACTTGGTTGTCTTTGACTTGGACTTGACTTGAGACTTGACTGGAAAGAATTGTGACTTACTTGCGACTTGCAAAGCAGTGACTTGGTCACACCTCTGGTGGATTTTATTGAAACTTTCAGAAATGACTTCCACGACTGATTACTTGTCAGATCACAATAAGCCAAAATGACTATTAAATATCAGGAGTTTAGCATGTCGTTGGACTTAAGTGTGGGCGAAGACTCGGGAGGCAGGCAGTTCAACTCAAAAGCACTTCAACAGGGAGCTAACAACAGGAGAACTACAGAGTTTAACTGGCAACAAGGAGCTACAAAAACAACTGAATGAAAACAGGATGTTTATATCAGGCTCTCAGGCTCAAAATAAGTTTTGATAAAAGGACGAACAACTAAGTCCTTCAAAGGTACTTCTGAGTTAAAAAATTCTCATGAAATGCGTGTGTGGAGTAACCAGGTAGGTAGGTTTTAATGTTGCAAATCTGCAACGCCTGCCTCCAGAGGGTTAAGATATGGACAGGTGAGCTGATGGAAAATAGGTCCGCATAATACATGAGTGGGAAACTCAGGCGCGGATGAATTAATATAACTGATACTGAACTGCAGTTTCCCTAAAGGAAGTTGTCTGAAAAGCTGTTTACTGATGCAACATTTTAAATCTGGGATTATAATCTGTCAACTAGCGTGTAAACAGAACAAAGTAGTCAAGGCCAAATTTGGGAAGATGCTTCAAAGGATCTGAGATTTTGCTTTATTAATTGAGACACTGCCCTGACTTACAGTAAACGAGCATTAGCGTAATGTTTTCTCTTCAAAAACCTGTAAATAAATACTTTGTGTATTTTTGAGCAAAAAACAACAACAAACAGATGAATTTAACAAATAATCCATCATCTATTTAAAGATTTGCATTGTAATCAGTCAATGATAAACCCATGTCAGTCAGCCTTTGATTAATTGTGCGTTTGGTTTTGTACGTCGGTTATGTTTCATTTAAGCACTGCATTAACATCGAGCATCGAGTCGTGTTTTCCATCTGTTGTCTTGTTTTTATCATTTCCTTCTGAATGTTTACCCAGATCAGATTAGCATTTGTATGAACATTTTAACACTGGTGTCCTCCAGGTTTAGCAGATAAAGAGATGTGCATGCACACAAGGGACCTGTTCATATTGGACTGCCTCTCATTAGCAATTAACTGGCAAACATGCTTTTCTGGCACTATTTTAGCTTTATTAACACATTAAGGGTTGAGCAAGAGTGTCCAGATTACCACCGGGGAATGGCAGACACGATGCAAGGCGATCTTTATATTAGAGGCTATAATGATTGTCTGAATGCATGAGATCCATTAGCTAACTGAGCCACGAACTGAATGCAAAAGCAAAGGTCAAGTGGGAGTGTTTATTTAGCTTTACTCTCCCTCTTTCTTCATATTTATTAATGATAAGGGAACACTTTTGCAGATCGCTGCTGGGAGTTACAGTATACTGCCTTTCCAGGCAGTGCATGTTTTATCTTTCTTGATTCTAACCATGAAAATGGCCCAGAAATATATACAAAACTCTAAAAACTAGATGTTAAGTTAGGGGTTGACAAAAGACAACACGGAGATAGTTACCAATGTCTCTTTTAACAAGACATGAAGCTCCATGTGGCCATGACTTTTGGCAATGTCGGGTGGAGTCTGTCCATGGCAATTGGTCGTGCGCAGAGCGCGTTCAGCGCCTGGACACTGTAGAAGCAGGCCAGACACACCTCTGAATCCATATCGAGCAGCAAAGTGGAGGAACGAGGGTACGTCTTCACGGTGGAGATCTGCTGGGACATTTACTTGTTTTGATCAACAGTGAAAACAACATGAACATTCCTCAACAAGCAGGGGAAACTCGAGGCTCATGCAATGCAACGTGGGCAATCGAACCCCTCCAGGAGCGTCGAAGACGGACAGCTCAGAGACACTTATTGACCTGTTTGTCATGGCAACATCTCCCACTGCCCTTTTTACCAGAGTAAAGAATCAATGTCAGAAGCTGATGAAGCCATCAGTCTGCTGCATAATGAGCCAAGAAATAATGAAAAGCTTTTTCTTTTCCCATAACAGCGACCGTTCATCACGCTACAAGAATGTCTTCCTACTGTGAGCTCTACTCAGTGGGAAGGATTGAGGTAAATGGACATAAAAGCTGTTCTGAGGCAAATCTGTCGCATCAACTTGCAAAGAATAGTCAAAATACCACAAATCAGCTGCCTCTGTGTTGTAAAAGAATTGTATTATGGGGTCAATGCTTTAAGGAAATGCACTGGCCAACAATGACAAATACGATAAAACAAAAGCTACAACCACACAAACACATGGACAGACACTTTCATCTTGAGGAATGTGATCAAAATGTCTCTGGTGTGGACCAAGGCAACTAAAACCCACAGCTCTCATCAGGAAGGATCAGGGCAGCAAAATATGATGTAGGTCACACACATGAAGCCTTTTGGGATCTGCACTTCTCACTTTCGAACCGATGCATTTCTTCATACAAGAAAACAAGATCTACCACCTTCAGTGTTGGGCAAGTTACTTCATTTATTACTTGTTACCCTCATTTTAAAGTAATCCATTACATTACACTATTACTGATTTTAAAATGTAAGGCATTACACTACTTTTGCATTACTTTAAGTTACTTTCACCAAAACAACTTCAATATGAATCTGGTAATGTGACGCCCAGTGAGCTCATGACATATATGTGGAAGGTGATGTGGTGTCTGAGCTAGGATTGCTGTTAAAAACAGTCAGATATAATAACAGTGCTTTAAAATGATTGTTTATTAAATAAAAGAAACAATAATCTGTACTCTCAACACGCTGCCGTCTTATATTAACTGAGCAGGGAGTGGGGTGGTGGGGGCTCCACGTCTATATTTGCCTTGGTTCCCAAATGCCTTGATACGGCCCTGGATGTGGGACTGACTTCTAGGGTGATCTGATTCTATCACATGTATAAATATTAAATGCTTATATATTATTGCTTTTCACTGGTAAAATGTCTATTGGGGATAAATCTACCTACTGTTTTTCTTTTCAAGCACTTTGTTTTGTTTTCTTGATTTTATTTGAATAACTTCCTGCCCTTTCTCTCTCTAAGCTTCCTGCATGCTGCATGTTTTCTCCGTCTTCCAGAAAAACTGTTTCCTAGATGTCCTACTTTCTAACTAATCAGCCAAAGGGATGTACCGAACGCAAAAAATAAAAATAAAAAGCTTTATATGCGCTGTGCTCAAGCAGCAATGAGTTGAAATCACCAGGGCACAGATTATGAACTCAGCTGAAAAGTACATGGAGTACCAGAGAATATGGGCTGATATAAGCGATCGCAAATGAATTACTTTGTTTTGGTGGAGCGATTTTGTGAATATAACAGCGGCCGCGCGCAGGACGTAGCTGGAGTATTTGAGCCATTACCGCTGCGTCCTCTCTGCTCATAGAATGCCTGCAAAGCTGAGTCCATAAATGATGTCATATACGGTAAGTGGATACTGGATCTTTTTTTCAGGCTTCCCGCAATTTGAATTTTTAGGAAACCCACATCTTGATTCTGGGTTTAAAAATGCATTGTAATTACCGCTTTACTGACAATTGTTCCGAGTAAATATTACCATTTTCTGTCCCTGTAAGGCCTTACATTACCACATTACAGCAAAAAGCAATGTATTATAGTAATTAATTACTTTTGTACCACATTACTCCCAACACTGACCACCTTTCACTGGACAATCTTTAGCTATTGATATAACTTAGAATACTGTGCAGACGTTTTAGGCAGGTCTGGAAAAAGGCACAACAGTGAGAAAGAGAGCTGCTGCAGCTTCAGTCAGAGGCGATAATGAATGATAAGAAATTTTAGCATGCGGGAGGCCCCTGCTGGTTGATTCTATCCACCAATCGGAGGCTCCCTCTAACAATAGGCATATATTTGAGCCAGCCAATCAGTAGTAGTGGACGTGTTAGTCCGGGCCAGCCCTGAGCGGTCCACTTGAGGATAAGGGCTGAAAAACCGCACGGTAGGATAGGGAGAAGTACTGGGCCACCCAGGTATGAATGAATATATGCAATGTGGGCTGGGCTGAGCGGCACCCCTATTACTGACCCTTAACACACTCAGCTCGGCTCGACTGGACTCTACACGGTTTGGGTGGTTTTCCATTACAGTTGAGAAACAGTTTTGGTGGGTGGGCCTGTCATAGATATGCGGCCTTCAGAGTTCAAAGATTAGCATGAGGTGATATGTGCACACATAACCTCTACACTAGGCAACAAAGGAGGAACTGATAGCAACAAAGAGTATTTGCTTAGTCCAAGGCTTTTTGTCATCCTCAGACAAGAAGAGACCTGGAAAATATCACGGGCAGCAAGGCAGAAGTACAGGATAGAGTGAGTGACTCCACCTTCCTGGCCAATCCGTAATCTTGTGTGGTCGGCCCGGCATCGTGCACTGGAACTACAGTGAAGTGGTTCTAAAAAAATGGAGGACAACCACATACCGGTTGTTTGTGGAAAAGCCTCAGAACCATATAGAGCTGAGTCGCATTGAGTAGGTGGTAGTGGAAAAGGGTACCCTAACCCTAAAGCCTAACGCTACCCTGTGTCTGACCCTATTAGGACTCCTCTGTTCCAGTTCTAGAGTCTGTTGTTCAAGCCGGTTCACAGCCCTCCTGCCTCATGTCTATGATTGCTGAGTGGAGGCAGCTGAGTTAATTAGTGAATGACACAAAGATGAAATAAAACTGATCCACAATTAAAAACATGATTAATGATCGAGTACAGACCCAATCTGCCTTGCTGACCACTGATTATTCCTGCTACTCCTGGACTTGTGAGTTTTCTTCCTGGCGCATGTTTTTAACCTTGCTTGACCTTTTTGACTCTGTCTCTGCTCACTGGACTGTGGATCTGTTTGCCACGGTTTATGTCTGCTCTGATTCTGACCTAGACAGATTATTCTAGTACTCCTGAGTTTTACATCACGAACCTCTTTCAGGGTTTCCCTTACATAAGTGTAGCCGTGGCGGGCTGCCACGGCTGAAATCCCATCGCCACGCCTACAAGATCCCAAGTTTTTTTTTTTTGCGCTGTTTCCCGAAGAAGCAGCGGGAACTACTATGTTGTCGCTTGTGATCACAGCCGGCGGGCAGCAAGGAGGAGCAGGAAGGGCAAGGTGCAGTTACAACATAAGTTACTGAGTTTAAAATTAGAAAGGTAGCAGTGGATATAATGCTTTTTGGTTTACATGTTTCAATAGCATTAAGATAAACAAGTGTTGACGATCTTGACAGGGTTTCCTCCAGTGCTTATTAGGCCAGTTTGTCCTCCCCCCACCAGGCTAAGCATCATTTATTCATGTAAAATTTATTTATGTTTTCATGTCTGACTTTAACCGCATCTAATACTTTATTACGATGTGAGCGCAACAGCGACAACTTAAGATCGATGTGTGAGCAGCCTGAGAGGTCAGGTGTTTCATCTGAACCCTTAAAACCTCCAGCAGTCTACGCTGCACTATTGACGTGTTAGCGCGCGGCGCTAACAACTTAGCGACGTGTCATGTCTCAGAGAACGCGTAAAAACACGTTGGACGCTTCTTCTGAAGCGGGAAAATAACACCTCTTCTTAAGCAGAGCACGATGTCGCCTCAGGTCCTTCACCCTCTGCCGAGCCGGTGTCGGTACAAGATCTGCTCGGGTGCAAGATCAGCTCGGAGTCCGTCGACTGCCGATGACGTTAAAGTAGTTGATTGGCTGAACATGAACCTGAATTTATCCTCATGTAATCCCCTTTTCATCTAATTAACGGTAGTGCGACTCTTGTTGCGAATGACCACAGTACCAATTCTTCTGTACTGAAACAATTGCCCCTCGGGGATGATTAAAGTTTTTTTAATTGAATTTGAATTGAATTACGGAATTACGTAATCACGTTACGTTGGTCCAGGCAAATCTTTCTGATGGAAAGATGGACAACTTTTACAAAGAAATCCATCATTACCTCTTTGAAAATACACTTTTAGCATAGAGCTGCATGTATATTAGGACTGAACGATTAACTGCATGTGCAATTAAATTGTGATGTGACAAAAGGAGATTTTTTAATCGCAAAGGCTGCAATTTGGCAGCGAGTGGTTAGCGCAATGCTAATATACATGGAAAAACCCATAGGAATGCTAATGCTAATATCACCAATTACATTCTTACGAATTATGAATTAGAAACGTGCCAAATGATTACATTTGGAGTCTAATAGAAAGTAAAACCACCATCAATCAAATAAGTACAGACAGGTATTTTAGTAAAGCCAGAAAACTTTTAACTCCAGCTAGCAACTATGAGCGTAACTGAACTACGCATGGACAAGATATACGGGACACACTTCTTTCCTGCAAATACAATTTCACAGGTGTTGCTAATACCTATGATCCTTCAAGGGATGTGCTCAAAGAGGAGTTCAACACAATATAGTGTTTTATTTTACAAATACCATTATAAACACAAACTTAGGTCTTAAGAAACATTTAAATAACGAAACTGCTAAATTCTTTCCAACAGTATAGATGTGTAGTGTATTTTGTCCGAGTGGGTTTGCCGTACTTTGACGTCATCTGCAGTCGAAGGACCCCGAGCCGATCTTGCACCCGAGCAGATCTTGTACCGACACCGGACTGAGCTCGATAACATTGACCCAGCACAGCCACTGGGTCGTTGGAGCTGCCCCGTGACTGCCTGATGGAAAACCAGCAGGTTTCATCAGACTCGTAAAGTTTCTTGTTTTTGCTGGGGACCCCCTGTATTTTACCGCTCCCTCCTGCAGTCTTCCCCTATTAACATTTAAAATGATTCTGTAAATTCTGTGTATCAATAGAAACAATCTCTGCCTCTGCCAGCTGCAGTAAATGTAGTTTCCAAATAATAAATAAGAGGTGCATTCATCTGTGTATCTCCTTTGATCCGCATGAGTGATATTCTCAGCACCAGAACAGTGAAGCAAAGAAACAGATTCCTGAGTTTGTTAGTAATTTTATTTATTAGGTGCATCTGACCTGTTCTACAGGTGCTGGCCAGTAAATTAGAATATCATCAAAAGGTTGAAAATATTTCAGTAATTCCATTCAAAACGTGAAACTTGTACATTATATTCATGCAATGCACACAGACCAATGTATTTCCAATGTTCATTACATTTAAATTTGATATTCATAAGTGACAACTAATGAAAACTCCAAATTTGGTATCTCAAAAAATTAGAATATTCTGAAAAGGCTGAATATAGAAGACACCTGCTGCCACTCTAATCAGCTGATTTACTCAAAACACCTGCAAAGGCCTTTAAAAGGTCCCTCAGTCTTGTTTTGAAGGCACCACAATCATGGGGAAGACATCTGACTTAACAGCTGTCCAAAAGACAATCATTGACACCTTGCACAAGGAGGGCAAGACACAAAAGGTGATTGCTAAAGAAGCTGGCTGTTCGCAGAGCTCTGTGTCCAAGCACATTAACAGACAGGCGAAGGGACGGAAACAATGTGGTAGAAAAAAGTGTACAAGCTCTAGGGATAACCGCACCCTGCAGAGAATTGTGACGACAAACCCATTCAAAAATGTGGGGGAGATCCACAAAGAGTGGACTGCAGCTGGAGTCAGCGCTTCAAGAACCACCACGAGGAGACTCATGAAAGACATGGGATTCAGGTGTCGCATTCCGTGTGTCAAGCCACTCTTGAACAAGAAACAGCGCAAGAAGCGTCTCGCCTGGGCCAAGGACAAAAAGGACTGGACTGATGCTGAGTGGTCCAAAGTTATGTTTTCTGATGAAAGCAAGTTCTGCATTTCCTTTGGAAATCAAGGACCCAGAGTCTGGAGGAAGAGCGGAGAAGCACAGAATCCACGTTGCATGAGGTCCAGTGTAAAGTTTCCACCGTCAGTGATGGTGTGGGGTGCCATGTCATCTGCCGGTGTTGGCCCACTCTGTTTCCTGAGGTCCAGGGTCAATGCAGCCGTCTACCAGGAAGTTTTAGAGCACTTCATGCTTCCTGCTGCTGACCAACTTTATGGGGATGCAGACTTCACCTTTCAACAGGACTTGGCACCTGCACACAGTGCCAAAACCACCAGCACCTGGTTCAAGGACCATGGTATCCCTGTCCTTGATTGGCCAGCAAACTCGCCTGACCTTAACCCCATAGAAAATCTATGGGGTATTGTGAAGCGGAGGATGCAATACGCTAGACCCAACAATGCAGAGGAGCTGAAGACGACTATCAGAGCAACCTGGGCTCTCATAACACCTGAGCAGTGCCACAGACTGATCGAGTCCATGCCACGCCGCATTACTGCAGTTATTGAGGCAAAAGGAGCCCCGACTAAGTATTGAGTGCTATACATGCACATTCTTTTCATGTTCATTCTTTTCAGTTGGCCAACATTAGAGAAACAAACATTTTTTCATTGGCCTTTAGAATATTCTAATTTTCTGAGATACCAGATTTGATGTTTTCATTGGTTGTCACCTATAAATATCAAAATTAAACGTAATAAACATCGGAAATACATTGGTCTGTGTGCATTGCATGACTATAATGTACAAGTTTCACGTTTTGAATGGAATTACTGAAATATTTTCAACCTTTTGATGATATTCTAATTTACTGGCCAGCACCTGTATTCTCTGAAATGAGATCAAATTGGTACTTCTATGGGTTGTCTCCTCTCTGCACTAGAAAATTTTACTTTATTTAGAGACGTGTCAATTTCTCCCCAAGCCCCCCCGGCCCCACCGCCACAGCTGGAAAATTCCTAGGGGAAACACTGCTCTTTTCAACCACTATTCTGAGTTTCCCATTCACCTGCTTCCATGGGACCTCAGTGATGAGCTCTAAGCATGAAGCAATCCTTGCGGTGCTTACCTCTGAGGAGAACCTGGGAACTACCCCAGGATGGTAAATTTAGGAAATACTGTTTACCCAATTACCCAGTCTAGAGTCCCATCAGGCCATGACATCATTACAGCAAGACCCTGGTATGTTGCTGCTACTACTTCCTTACTATAGAAGTTTGGAGAATTATGAGACGAAATGTGGAGTCTTTGCATTTGAAAACAAAGCTGCATTCAGTTCTCACCTAGATGTTTTTTCAATTACTAAATTCAGACTGTGAGACTAAAAGTTTGCTTCAGCTTAGCCAAAAGGGTTCTCCAGTGGGTCAATATCTTGCTAATTTTCATGTGAAACTGATGCTTTACGCTCCCATAACCACTCTCTTTCAATTTAGGCCAAATAAATCCTGGCACTGTCATCTAATCTAATTGTCGTGGTCATTTAAGGAATGAGAAGCTGCTCGGTGCATCAGTTAGTTAAATAACTTGCTGCCAGCTAAACCATAATAAACACTGCAGTAGGAAGATGTCCAGATTTTTATTTACTTCTCAAAGATTTTATTTTGATGAAAAAACTTGCATCAAAGCATTTTTGATGTTGAGAGTCTGGATAAGCTGAATAAGTTCAGAGTGCTGTACCTCTTTCATGTGTGTTTTCACTCCTCAGTCCCTGAAAGCCTCCTTTGGGCATGCCCTGCAGCAACATGGAGGACAACTTCTGATCCAACTTGTCCGCACAAGAAACTTGGAGAGCCTGAAAAACAGCAATCCTTTTTTTTTTTAAAGTTCTGTACCTTTTCTGTTTGAAAAGTCACGAAATAAACCACTGCATCAAAAAGCAGCAGCGGCAAAGTTGGAAATCTATACAGAGGCACAATAAAAATGTCAGGTTTCATTTAGGCACACAAGCATCAGGCCTCACTTTTAGTTTGGCCAACTCTTCCTCCGGCGTTTGCTCCCTCAGCAAAACAGATCTAATCAAATCAAGTGTTCATTACAGGAAGACGGAGGAAACCTGCGGTTCCTTCAGCGTAGGAAAGCAAAAGGAAAACAGCTGAAATACTGTATGTTGATTTGATGCTGCTGTTCCACCTCCTCCTGATGGCTTCTGGGTTAATTACAAGGCAGAGTTGTGCAAAGGTAACTAGACAGGATAATATAATAAAGGCTCAAGTTCCTGTTGGTGAGAAGATAGAAAAACAGAAGCAGCCCTTGTACTACATGACTGAGCAAAACATTTACTGCACCTATTTGAATAATGTTGTTTGGGCTTTATTGAATGTTTGTTTTATATGCAAACAGTGTTAGCTTTACTTTTTACAGCCTCTATAAAAGAAAGAGGGCTGGAAAGGAAAGTTCGTTGAAAGGTTAGTAAAGAATGGATTCAAAATAAATTGATGAAAAATGTATTTTTTTAACCCTTTGATGCATAATGGTCACTACAGTGGACAGGTACTCGAAATTATTATTTATTTGTTTTTGCTATTAAGCACATCTGTTGAAGACTTTATTGCATTTGAGCCCCTCCATTTGGACTTCAGTAAGCCAAGCCAAAATATTTCATGCTCAGATTGCACGCTGCCCACTGAAGTGGACATGTAATAAATTATTTGTAAATTATAAAATTTTACAAAAAATATTTGTTGAAATTTGTTTCATTCACACCTAAAGACGAATGAAAAAAATTGTTTAAAAAATTATGGTTGAAGATTTCATAATTCATGCATCAAAGGGTTAATGAAGCCCGTGTTTGTGCAGGTTTTGTTAAGCTAACACTCTTATATGAATGTTTCAGATAAGCAAACACATTTAAATATCAGACATGAGGAAGTTTTTAAATAATAGTTTTGTCTATTAAAGCTGGGGTACGTAGCTTTAAAGCTTTAAAGTAAAACTTTAAAGTTTGACTGTCTGACCCTGTTGGTAAATGGCTGTATTTATATAGCGCCTTCTTAGAGTTTTATAATAATAAGAGGTTTTATTTAAAAGCACCTTTCTGGACACCCGAGGTCATTTTTCATTAAGAGATTAAATAAAATAAAATATTAAAAACAGTTTAAACTTAAAGGGACTTTACAAAGTTTTGAATTTTTATGCTTGCGATTGCCCCCTCAGGCCAAAAGCGTAATGGCAGCTTCAATAGTAGGCTCGTGCACGAGGCGCGCTTGCTGTACGTGCACACTCCTTAACGAAAATAAAAGCTGAGACAGTCGTGTGTGTGTGTGTGTGTGTGTGTTTGTGTGTGTGTGTGTGTGTGTGTGTGTGTGTGTGTGTGTGTGTGTGTGTGTGTGCGTGCGCGCGCATGTGTGTGTGTGTGTGTGTGGCCCGGAGGACAGAGGACAGGAGAACACGCAGCTAATTAATTCAATCTTTTGGTTCTGTACCTTTCTCTTCAGCACAGCCGACAAAGGTTTATGATGGGTCAGTCCTCCTGCATGCTCAGATCATTCCCTTCCCTTGCTTGAAAAATTGTTCCAAAATGAAAGTTGAACCCACATCGTTTTTATCTGTGAATTCAATGCCGTTTGGCGAGTCTCAAATAAAAATTTGGGCATCTTACTTAAAAAAATATACCATTAATGTAAAAAATACACTCTAAATAAATTATGTTCACATCAAGGGCGTCAGTTTGTTTTCAGAATTGCTGGGGACAATAACCATACACTTGAGTGGGGTTTAAAAATTGCTGGGGACAATAAAGTAGGCTAGCACAGGGGTCGGCAATCCGCGGCTCTGGAGCCGCATGCGGCTCTTCCATCCATCTGATGCGGCTCTCTGTGCTTATAAAATAATGAATGGATATTTAAATAAAATGCTTTATATTTTACTGCATACATTTTACACCTGTATGCCAATTCTAAATGTAAAGATGATCTGCGTAAACCTGAACAGGTCCAACCCGGTCTGCGGTGGTTGACCGGTCACGCTTGTGCGTAATCATATAGGCACTTTATGAGCTGAAGAGGATGTGAGACTCTGGGCTTCTCCTCAGACGGCTCCTGGATGTGTCGCCACATTGGAGCCAGGAACAAGCACTATTCAGCCAAAGTTTCATAATCAGGGAACATTTTCTAAGTGACAAGTCTCTCTGAGAGACAGGGTTTGGAAAACACTCGCTTCAGTGGGAGGAATCTTCCCGCATGCGCACTGCATGGTTCTCTGCGTGGCTCTGGGGTTAATCAAGTTTAATTGTTTCTCTTCGCAACAATCTTCACAGGAAGGCAAAACAGTTAAACGGCAGGTTACAGATATTTCCATTTGACTGTTTATTTTGACAGATGAACTCAAGGATGTTTGGTTTGAAAGAATTACCCCGACGCACACGGATGCGCATGGATGAGCTGACATTTTAATCGTTAAAGCAGATCGCGGAGGTAAAAATTTCCCATCAGAACATCAGAGCTTTATACTGGACACTGTGTTCAGCGCGGCTCGGAGCGCCCACGGTGGACAGTGAGCTGAAGATCTGGGGTTCGCAGCGCAGTGCAGAACGGCGCATGCGATAAGATTTCCTCCCACTGAAACAGTCTGGAAACCCGGTCTCTCTGAGGGATGTGTCACTTGGAAAAATGTTATTTTTATGAAATTATGAAACTTTGGCTGAACAGCGCTTGTTCCCGTCTCTAATATGGAGACGCATGACGCGTAGAGACATTTGATCACGCACAAAGTTTATGTGGAGCAGAAGCGGTCGGGCCACGGCAGGTGAAACGTTCCTAGCCTACATGAAGTGTAACTGTTTAATTGTAACATTAATATGTTACTGGACATGCTGGTCTGGTTGGTTAGACCAGTGTTTGAAGCGGAAAACACACACACACACACACACACACACACACACACACACACACACACACGCACGCACACACGCACACACACACACACACACACACACGCACACACGCACACACGCAAACGCACACACACACACACACACACACACACACACACACACACACACACACACACACCAATTAAAATAATGCTGACAGCGTGGACTAGAAGACAGGTGATGGTTTACGTATTTAAATGATGATCAGGCTGCTGTAAAATGTAATCTCCATCCACATCCAGACACAATTATCCTCTATTCTTTCTCTATTTGCTCTGCTCTTGTCTGGGCTGACGTAGCTGATGGTGCGCGCGACGTGCCTAACTAGCGGCTGATGCACATTTTACGCATTTGGAGAGGTGGGCTGGATGCTTTGCGTTTACTGGAAGATGGTCCACTTAACGCACGGTTGTAGACTAAATATTAATGACAAATGAATGAAAATTAAATTGTGAGTTTTTACTTCATATTTTATAAATAAAAAGGACGGGGGAACACATTTATGACGTCTTTTTAAACGAAATTTTCTAGTGCGACCTGCCTGCTTCACTTAAGTCACTGCTTATTAAGGTCCGTCCAGAATTACTGTGGGAAATGGGTAATAATGGCTCTTTGATGGGAACAGGTTGCCGACCCCTGGTATAAGATCTGAGCTGGTAACACAAAAATCCTCATCAGCAGGCGTTTTTGAAAGTGGGGGGGACACAGCTGCCAATCACAAATTTTGCCGGGGACATGTCCCCGGCGTCCCCGGTTAAAATGACGCCTATGGTTCACATCCAGAATCAAACCCGGGTCTTCTACACGGGAGTCCACCATCTTACTAGGTGTGCTATAGCACCAGTGACATCTTTTGTATCTGTAACATTTATATCCTTGATGACTGCTGAAACAACGTTCAAAGAACGGTTCAGAGCGAAAATGGCTATTTTGTTGCTAATTTGCAGGAAATATCTAGAAGAAAGTTCTACAGAAAGTAGCTAAGGTCCTCAGAAATGTAGCTAGGTTCGTCACTAGGCGTTAGGAACAGCGACAAAGTCGCTGAGTTGGCCCTACCTCACTCTCTTTTGCTAAAGCTATGGATAGCAAATGCTACGGGCTATGCCTGAGCGTGAACGCGCATGAAGCAGCCTGCTCGACCCGAGCATCTCTCTTTTTCTGTGATTTTACAGAAAAATAGGCAATCACAGTAAAAATGCCAGGGCTCATTCTACAGGACCAGGGCATTGCAGGAGAATGTATGAAGAAGAAATTTATTATTTCTATACATGTTTTGGCTGTCAAACCTCCATAATGCCCCTTTAAAGCAAATACTATAAGACAGTAGAAACAACCAGCGATACGCAGTAGTGAGACTATGACGGATAAGCTGCCCTGAACAGGTGTGTTTTTAGCCTGGATTTTAAAAGGGGGATGAGAGTCGGTGTTTCGGACGTCAGGTGGCAATGAGTTCCAGAGTTTAGATGCAGAACCGGCAAAAGCTTTAGTGACGGGACGGGAGAAAGGCATTGCAAGATGGATCGATGTGGAAGATCGGAGGGAACGAGAGGAGGAAGCAGTGTTAGGAATGTCACATGGATATGGAGGAGCAAGATTGTGAATGGAGTTGAATGTAAAGAGAAGGAGTTTAAAAATGATCCTGAACTTAACAGGCAACCAGTGGACTTCTTGAAGGGCTGGGTTTGAGTGACTGAGTGATTGTGTGGGCCACTGAGTTCTGGATGAGTTGAAGCAATTTTTGAAGAAGGCCATAGAGGAGAGAATCACAGTAACCAACACGAGAAGTTACGAGACTATGAACCAGGATGGAAGCAGCACAGGCAGAGAGGGAGGGATGAAGGAGGTTCATGTTGCAAAGGTGGAAATAAGTGGAACAGGTGACATTACTTACATGATCAGGTGTGTGAGAAGGTGTCTGTTTTCTGAATCGTCTCTCGTCACTTCCTGTGCGGTAAGGTGCTTTAAGTCGATTCCTGTTTTCAGTGTTGTAAACCGTGTAGCTGTTTGGTGTTTGTGGCACGCTAAAATTGATCTGATTTCTCTGTCCTGGGACGTTTCTGAGTTATTGTAGCTCGTAAGCTTGCTAAAACACACATTTTCTGTTGTTCCACCGAGCAACCAAATTTCTCATTTCTAATTTCTTGACTGCCTTCTGCTTGTCAAATAAAATATAAACGGTTTGAAAGTCCTTCTGCAAAAACTCACCATGGACAATTACAACAGTCATGGGCAGCACCAGGCGGTAGCTTGGTGTTGCTAAAACAATGGCCAGATTCGGCCAAGAAACGGCGTAGTAGCCCCAAATACTGAATCACCCACTCTACTCTTCAGTCCATGCCATTGGACACCAGAGAACCCGTATAAGATCATAGGCCATTTCTAAATATGTGTACTCATCTGAACTTGTGTTCTCACGTCCTCGTGAAACGTCATCAACGATGGCCCAAGTACTGTTCTAATTCCTAAGTATGCATCATGGCAAGTTCACTCCAAGTTCCCGGATATGTCCTTGTTCCACTCATTGTATTAAGGATGCATCAATGCATCCTTCTGTGGACTTGGGGCAGCAAGGTGTCCCATAATGCATTGTGCAGAAAACTGTTATACTCCAAACATAGGAGGAGGAAAACTCAAAACTTTAGTGTTTTATATCAGAAATGCAAATAAAGAAAATATGAAGTTGCCTGTTGTTGTAAATAATCGTGTGTAACCTGTAAAATCTGCTGTGTGCATTTGTTTTTTCAGACTCTTCACAACCCATCAAATGCTAATTAGCTAACCCACTATCAAAATAAAAGCAGCTGTGCTTTAAATAGCTCTGTTTTATAGAAAACTATAAATTGTCCTCATTTAACAGTGGCAAATACTGGTATTTTATCGAGTTTGATCAAAAGTACACAAAATATTATACAAATGATATGTATTCATTGTTATTTTGTTATTTAAGGGTCAAACTAGACTTTTATTTTTATGTCAGCTCATTTTTTTTTACCGTAGCAACATCAAATCAAATAAAATGAAATCAACTTTGTTTATATAGCACTTTTCATACAAAAAAATTGCAATTCAAAGTGCTTCACAGATTAAAATGGCCCCATAGATCCCATATTCCCATCCCAGCCCCCCTCACCAAGTATAAAACAATTGACAATTACACTCCCCCCCCCCCTCGCAACCAATTTCCAAGGTGAACGTACACTCACCCTTACACACACACACACACACACACACACACACACACACACACACACACACACACACACACACACACACACACACACACACACACACACACATGTGAACAACAGAGTAAACAATAGGCTGAGTTCAGATGGGTCAGGTAATGGACGACACATCATCAGCAGAGCCATCTGCCTCGACAGCAACAGATCCACGGCAGCAGCCAAGACACCGGCCCATGACGCCCAGGGAGGGAGGGCGGAGACCCCCACCACTGCCCGGGCACTACCCGAGGAGCGCCCTGGCCGCCCCGGCCGCCGCCGCCGACCACCGGCCCCAAGGCAGAGCCCTCTGCCTCAAGGAACATGCAGCTCTTGTTGCCATGACGCAATGTAGAACAGTTCTGTTCCAGATGCGTCCTCGTCCTTCCATAAGAGACATTCTGCTGTATATTCCAAGAACAGACTTGTCAAGTACACAAGAACGTACTAGTGTACGTGGGTATTGGCAATGGCCATCCTATTTTAAATAAATTGTTGAACAAAAGAGCTTGTCTGAAAACTGCATCTAGTTTTTACCAAGGTTGTCTTAGATATTAAAATCGGTTTGCTGGTCTGAAATATTCAAAGGACAAAAAAATAGTGAATCACATTTTCTGGGCCGCATTTCTCTGTGTTAGGGTTTTTATGCCCTTTCATTTTCTTCTTCCGTGATGATCAGAAATCCCTCAGTAAACAGTGGCCTTTGAAGGAGACACACTGGACACCCCCTCCATGAGACAACCTAAATTTAGACATTCCTCTAACTGAACCAGACCTTGAAAGGCTTTACCTGACACATGAACTGTACCGGGTCTGCCACGTTTGACAGAAGGCAGGTGAGTTCCTCAATGCTCGTGTAGTACTGCAGCTGTGAGCTGCACAGTGGCTTTCCACTGCTGTAGACGGTCACCCTCACATTTCCTGCAGGAAAGTCTGCGGCCGAACACACACAGAAGTCACACATATGCAGTAACACCAGTCAGTGTTTCTGTGCTTTTGCTCACCTGGTGCGCCGACATACAGGATCCGCTCATTCCAGCGAACAGGCTTCACTCTCACTTTCTGATTCCGACCGCTGAACTCCACCTCACAGTCGTCGTCGGCCTCCTCGTTTTTCAGAAGAACAAACACCTCCGTGCAGCTCTGCCAGGCAGACAGTAACAGGAGACTGCTGTGTGAGTCTGCTGCTTTCCGATCAAACACACCGGATTACCAGAGGAGTGTGTCTCACCCTGCAGGGAACTCTTGAGGGAATGACCACAATGTTGGACCTGACCCCGTCTGCTCCAGATGAGTGCATCTGTTGGGCCTTCTGCTCTGATCCAGATGTTCGACATGCCCCTGTAAAACGTGGAAGCAGTTTGTCTTGAAGAGGCACTTCACCCATACTCACTTACCTCTTCGGGTTATTTTTAGTCAAGTAACTTGCAAATTTAGTGTCTTTCTTGCAAGACAGTCATGATTTGCAGCGTTTTATGAAGTGCTGCTGACCAGCTACTGTTTCTTTTTGCACCACTGTGGTGTTTTTGCATAGACGACTGTGACCATGGACTCTCACAATGCATTTAATTGTTCATGAGGGAAATGGGTTGTGTGGGGAAAAGCTACTTTTGTTCTTTGATGTTCTCGTTCAAAGCTCTTTAGAGGTTCAACTGCTGGAAAAGTTCAAGTAGTGGGTGTGAGGTCTGAGATGGTTTTTGACGCTCCTTTTTCCATGCCTGGGAAAAATAGCTACTGGCTATGGGGGGAGGTGAGTGGGACAGTGTGAAACCGACTTGTAATAGAAAACTCCCACAACTCTTAAAATTAGTATTTCATGTAAAATACAAATTTGAGTACAATATTTTACCTTTTATTACTGTGTCATTTAGAAATATTTCAAATCTTAATGGGATGTTTGTTTTCTAACCTAACCACCAATACTACATCATGTTTGCATAATGGGGAAATGTTGCACATGCATGCTATAATGGTATCTTTAGCATATTTGTCAATTTGTTTAAACATTTATTAACTTAATTGTAGTGTCAGTGTGAGCATGCTAACTTTTTAATTGCACGCTTGATTGACTAAATACTTGAAAATGTCAAAAGGTGTTTCCCCACATGTCTGACGGAGGTCCCATATTGGTTTACGTTTGATTTCAAAATCATTTCTAGATGTTTTAGATCATTTGCTTTACTAGGTTGAATTACTAATTTTAGCTGCAATAGATGCAAAAATTTGGAAAATAAATTATTTCATGCCTCTTAACAACGTTCTAACATAGTTTAGCTATAAATGTATGGTGGATGTTAAAAAATTAATAAAGTGGTTTTCTCACATTTGTCTTAAAACCTCCACCAATAAAACGTTTTGGACCAAAAGCAACTACTGTATCATCGGGTTGTTGGTCTCGCTGAACCATTGCACTTTCCTGGGTCCTCCGCTCATTACACACTCACATATTTACCAGCAGAACACCACTGGTGTGAGAGGTTCTCCTCTTAATAATATCAGAGAAGGAGAAACAGCCGGCTGCTACCACTTCAACTTTGGGACAAACTACCAAAAAGAAAAACACCATCTGAAGTCACGGACAACAAAAGATGTTTAGACCTTTAAAAAGGTGACTGGTGTGGCTGAGGTTTTAGACAAATGCAAATAAACCACTTTATTATTAGTGCTATTAATACAAAATATTTATAACTATACTATGTTAGAACATTGTTAAGAAGCATGAAATTATCTTTTAAGCTAGCTTGTTTTGCAGATTTGCCATTATAGACGTTCAGAGAGTAGACGCCATGTTGGCAGGCAACAAAGGTAAACAAAATGAATGGGATCGGCTTGGATTTTACTCTGTCGGAGTTTACTTCACACTTTGAAACTGAAGAAATCTTTTTATATAGTCAGAAATTAAATAGATTAAACATCTCCAACCCTTACCGTGCCCCTGGGATACTTTTTAAAAACGCCAGAAGCTGTTGGAGCGGACCTGGCCAGGGAACGCCTTGGGATTCCCCCGGAGGAGCTGGCCCAAGTGGCTGGGGAGAGGGGAGTCTGGGCCTCTCGACTTAGGCTACGGCCCCTGCGACCCGACTCCGGATAAGCGGATGAAACTGGATGGATGGATGGATGGATGGATGAATGGATGGATGGATGGATGGACAAATAACAGATTTACGTGTAAGAAGTTTAAACAGAGTGCTGTTCTGTTTGAACGTATAAACTGAACGCCAAGAGAAATCACTAGTCTGATTTTTTTCCGTGAATAAAATAAATATGTCAGGCAGGAGCGTCTCAGGATCTGTCTGAGATCTGTCTCGGTGAGACAGATAATAGCAATCTAAAGTGCTTTTTATGTGTGATCTGACAATTGATCAACCATTGCTTAAAAATTAAATACAGCTTAGCCGGTTAATTGCTGTGATCATAAGATACGTAAACAGCAGCACGCAGAACTCACGAGACAATGTTTTACGTGATGTTTACTTGTTGCTCTGAGTATCCATCCATCCATCCATCCATCCATCCATCCATACATCCATCCATCTATTTTCATCTGCTTATCCGGGGTCAGGTCGCGGGGGCAGTAGCCTAAGGCGAGAGGCCCAGACTTCCCTCTCCCCAGCCACTTGGGCCAGCTCCTCCGGGGGAATCCCAAGGCGTTCCCTGGCCAGGTGAGAGACATAGTTCCTCCAGCGTGTCCTGGGTCTACCTTTAGGTCTCCTCCCGGTTGGACGTACCCGGAAAACCTCACCAGGGAGGCGTCCAGGAGGCATCCTGACCAGATGCCCGAGCCACCTCAACTGGCTCCTCTCGATGTGGAGGAGCAGCGGGTCTACTCCGAGCCCCTCCCGAATGACCGAGCTTCTCACCCTATCTCTAAGGGAGAGCCCAGCCACTCTTCGGAGAAAACTAATTTCGGCCGCTTGTATCCACAATCTCGTTCTTTCGGTCACTACCCAAAGCTCATGACCATAGGTGAGGGTAGGAACATAGATCGACCGGTAAATTGAGAGCTTTGCCTTCTGACTCAGCTCTCTCTTCACCACGACAGACCGGTACAACGCCCGCATCACTGCAGATGCAGCACGCTCCAGTTTTCCCTCACTCGTGAACAAGACCCCGAGATACTTAAACTCCTCCACTTGGGGCAGGACCTCATCCCTGACCCGGAGAAGGCATTCTACCCTTTTTCAAATCAAGACCATGGTCTCAGATTTAGAGGAGCTGATTCTCATCCCAGCTGCTTCACACTCGGCTGTGAACCGCTCCAGCGAAAGCTGAAGATCACGTTCTGATGAAGCCAACAGGACCACATCATCTGCAAAAAGCAGAGACCTGATCCTCAGGCCACCAAAACAGATGCCCTCCACACCTTGGCTGCGCCTAGAAATCCTGTCCATAAAGGTTATGAAAAGAATTGGTGACAAAGGGCAGCCTTGGCGGAGCCCAACTCTCACTGGGAACGAGCCCGACTTACTGCCGGCAATGCGGACCAAGCTCTGACACCGGTCATACAGGGACCTAACAGCCCGTATCAGAGGGCCTGGTACTCCATACTCCCGGAGTACCCCCCACAAGGTCCCCCGAGGGACGCGGTCAAACTCCTTCTCCAAATCCACAAAACACAAGTAGACTGGTTGGGCAAATTCCCACGCACCCTCCAGGATCCCCCTAAGGGTATAGAGCTGGTCCAGTGTTCCACGGCCAGGACGAAAACCACATTGCTCCTCCTGAATCTGAGGTTCAACAATCCGACGGACCCTCCTCTCCAGAACCCCTGAATAGACCTTACCAGGAAGGCTCAGGGGTGTGATCCCCCTGTAGTTGGAACACACCCTGCGGTCCCTCTTTTTAAATAAGGGAACCACCACCCCGGTCTGCCAGTCCTGCAGGACTGCCCCCGATGTCCACGCAATATTGCAGAGCCGCATCAGCCAACACAGCCCCACAACATCCAGAGCCTTAAGGAACTCCGGGCGGATCGAATCCACCCCTGGAGCCTTGCCACAGAGGAGCTTTTTAACCACCTCAGTGACCTCAGCACCAGAGATTTGAGAGGCCAACCCAAAGTCCCCAAACTCTACTTCCTCACTTGAAGACATGTCAGTGGGATTGAGGAGGTCTTCGACGTATTCTGCCCACCGATCCACAATGTCCTGAGTAGAGGTCAGCAGCACACCGTCCCCACTATAGATAGTGTTGGTAGCACACTGCTTTCCCCCCCTGAGGGCCGGATGGTGGACCAGAATCTCCTCGAAGCCTACGGAAGTCTTGCTCCATGGTCTCACCGAACTCCTCCCATGCCCGGGTTTTTGCCTCGGCGACCACCCGAGCCGCGTTCCGCTTGCTATGAGTAATAAGACAGAAAAAGCCACGCCAAAATAAGTTTAGAAAGCCAACTAAGAATCGTAATAAACGCATTTAAAAGAAATACCATATACGGTTGAGGAAGCATTTGTTTAAGTACCTGATATAAAGTGGTCGCTGCATAAGCGAAAACCTTTACTCTCGGGATCCCACAGTTTAATTTTAGCCTGGTCACTAGTGCGTTTTATTGCAATGATCCAACGTTTGGGGGGGTGGGGGTTTGGGGAGTGGGGGTGGGGGGTGGCACAATCTACCATATTTCCCATTTGACTGAGTTTTCTGACAATAACAAATAGCCCAGCTGTGGGCTTCTGCCTGCCAAGATGGCGCCGTTTCGATTTGAACTGTTGCATGCTGGGAGACGTGACGTCAACTCCCGGAGCTCTATAGCTTTAATAAATGTTAAAATTGTCCTTTTAGGGAATTTATGAAGACACATTCAAAATTTTTCATTACAGATTTAATATTGATGCAATACAGATTTTATTGCAAATAAAGTATCAGCCACAAAGTGCACAAACTTTACCTAAAAACTTCTAGCCTTCATGCACTAATAAGCACCATCCGGTATGAAAAGCAGAGGTGCTTAAGGGTTAAAATGTACCTTATCATCGGATCCTTGTCTGAACCCCTTCTCCGTATCAGTGCCGCAGAGTGCTATTACATTTGCATTGCAGTGTGCAATCAGTGGCAGTCTAATTTGCATCAGCTGTTCCTCCGTACTCACCTGTTTAAACAGAAACCCACTTCTCCAAGTTTGGATTTGGAATTGCAGATTGTGGAATTAGGAAAAAGGGAAGATGAAGGCATGAGGGTACTGACAGGTCAGATAGGGACGTGTGGCTTGTTTGATCATGGTAAGAGACTTGAGTAATTCAACACACAGTTCTCTGGAAACAGTCAGCAAACACGTTTCTGGGATATTTCAGGAAAACAAGTTGGGTGTACTAATCCTCATTTAAAACTGCTTGATTTCAAACTGTCATAGCTGTTCTAGTTAATGTCAGAACTCTGTGTGGCTTATCCCTGTTCACATGGTAGGATGACCAGGCTGATTTTTGATCCGTTCCTCCCCTTCCAATTACCCGAATGCTCTGGGGATAATCTTATCAGATATTTCTGCTGTGTGCGGCATAATCAGAGCACTCTGGTCGGTTCAGAGGCAGGTTGGGACCAACCATTCCAACCACAAATCGAGGTTTTAACACATATAACACATAAAACTGAGATCCTCATCTGTGCCCCAGACAAGCTGGTTCCCAAAGTCAGAGACTCTCTTGGTCAGCTTGCTTCTCACACCAAACCTTCCGTCAGGAATCTTGGCGTGACCTTTGACCCAGCTCTCACCCTGGATTCTCATGTCAGTTATCTTGTTCTCTCTCCCTTCTTCCATCTCAGGAACATTGCTAAGCTGAGTCCCGTTCTGTCTCGCTCTGAACTTGAGACAGTTCTCTACACCTTCATCTCCTCACGCTTAGACTACTGTAACTCTCTTTTCACGTGTCTGAGCAGAACCTCCCTGAACCGTCTACAGGTGGTTCAGAGTGCCTGTGCTCGGCTTCTGACCAAGTCCTCCAAACACACCCACATCACCCCGCTTCTCCTCCAGCTTCATTGGCTGCCAGTCAACTTCAGGGTTCATTTCAAGATCCTGGTTCTGGTCTATAGGGTCTTACATGGACAAGCACCTTCTTACATTGGTGATCCCCAGCAGGTCCCTGAGGTCCAGTGATCAAAGCCTACTGGTTGTGCAGCACCAGGCTAAAGACCAAAGGTGACAGATCTTTTTGCTGCTGTGGCCCCCAGACTCTGGAAATCTCTCCCCCTGAGCCTGAGATCAGTGGACTCAGTGGTCTCCTTCAAAAAGCAGCTGAAGACTCACTTGTCCAAGCTGGCTTTTGTATGACCTTCTTCACCACTCTCTCTTTATTCTGCTCTCCCCACCTATTCCACCTTCCTCGGGATCCACTGATTTCCCTCTTTCCTATTCACTCTCTTTCTTAACATTTTTTAATCACAATTGTCTATTTTAGCTCATTTTAAATATATTAAACATTTTCTAAATGTGTTTTTATATTTTTACATTTTTTGCTTTTGTGAAGCGCCTCGTGATTTTTATCTTGAGAGGCGCTATAGAAATGATACTTTCTTCTTCTTCATATTAGATTGTCTTGATCTGACTTTGAAGAAGAAACTAACACATTGCCTGTTGAATGTGACGTATTGCCAATCAGACAACAAAGTAACAGAAGCATGCTACACTGTTCTCTGCCATGTTTATTCACTCAGGAGCAGCCGGTGGTGTGTATGGCAGCCCCACCTGTAACAGTTTGCCCCAGGGCTGCATTTCCACCACACGAGTGGAACTCTGAACAAATATCATTTACCATCACTCAATCACCACCAGATCTCAATAAAGTAAATAGGCAGAACGTGGGGCCTGTCCTGTACATGCCTTCATCTTACGTTATTAAACTCAAACTGCTTTGAGTTTCAAGTAGACGTCCACTGATCCAGGTTTTTTTTCTGTGGCAGATACCAATACCAATTTTTAAAAAGGTTTTCATTCTGACAAATTTATAATTAAACCTAAACACGTATTCATTTGTTTATTTTGATTTTTGGGACTAATATGCGCTCTAAGTAGTGGATCTGCTTGTCAAAAAGGTAAAAGACTGCAGTGTACTTCTTGGGTTAAATAATAATCAGTTAATCTCTAGTTTTAAGGCCTTTATGCTGAGATTTCAAATTGAAAACAAAAATTTCAAACTTCATCCAACCAGCCTGGTTTCTCAGACCTTCATTAAGTTGAGGTGGTTCACCCATCCCCAAACCTTGCTCTTCCATGTAGGGTTGGATTCTGAAAGGCCTTTCGAACGACAATACGAGAAATATTTTGGAGTCAGAACCATACCTTTTCTCACAATGTCAATCACACTGGCCATGTAGTCAGGAGCATCCTGTTCACTGGAGATCTGCAGGCATTCTTCGCCGTCCAAGGGCACCAGCTCCAGCAGTGGGGTCAGACTGTCCACCCCACAAAGCAGCACGACCACGCACGCTGCAGGACTCAACACACGGGACAAGAAGAAGCGTCGCATCTGGCAAAGACTCTCCAGCATTCCCTCGGTGAGGATCAGGAGCTTGCATTTGTAGCTAGACAGCCTCAGGAAGTCGTCCCGTCGGCTGGACATTGTAGAAATATCATAGCAGCAGATCCCATCCTCTGGGATTGGGCCAGTAAAAACGGACAGGAGGTAGCTCGCCCACTGCTTTGCCTCTGTCTCGTAGAGGATCAGCAAATCCTCTGTCAACAAGTAATAAAATAAACCAACAGTCGTTCATTTTCTGGAACAATGGTCATCCAACTTAACTAGAACATTAAAAAACAAATGAAATAATCGAGATGTATAATTTTAAGTGTTGATCATCTCTGTTGTTTACCTGGCTGGCTCATTTCTACAGCAGTGCTCCTGTTGGCAGGTCCTGACACACAGTAGAATGAAAACCAGGAGGGCTATAGTCAAATGCAGCTGAGATAAGAGGGAGTTTCCTGCTGTGTCATTGTATTAACACCTTCAAAACCCCACGCACAAACACCTCTCTGCTCTGGTGAAAAGCTCTGACAATTCTGCTTCAGTTGTGCTGATCAGTTCAGTTCCCCAAACGTGCAAAAATCACAAAATACCTGATTGTTAAAACATCTATGGTTTAGATAGTTCAGTCGGAAAAAAATATCTGAAGAAACTGACTGATATGAGTGTTAATGACACTAACACACAATAATGAGCCAAAACCTACTGTTGATGCTAAAACTAAAAATTAAAATCCCACTTTTGTGACTTTGCTCGTTGTTTGACACAATAAGAAGGAAGTGAGCAGAGAAGGAAAAGGGCAAATATTAAAGGTGAGCGTCTAGCTGACAGGTAACCAGAAAACCAAGCGTCTGGGTCACGGACTTGACCAGAGTTTAATTAAGTTTGCGTGCAAGAACCTGAGGCGTGCTACAGCTAACGATCTGGTGTAAATGTCCCCGGTGTGAGCGTGGATAAAACGGATGTTCTGACCTGTTGCACTTACACAGAAATGCAAAAGCTCAGGGCTTCATTAACCGCCGCCACCTGCTAAACAACTGACTCACATCAGACGGTATCTTCCTACCAGCACCAGTCATTTATAGTCAAATGAAGGTTAAAATATAAAAACCAGCCAGTGAAAGCTGAAATCTGCTTCATGCAAATCCCCCATGCTGTGTATCTGGTGACTCATCAGTGAGAGATCAACCATGGGTGCAGTTTCACACCAACTTTGTTCTGTTCCTGAGTCTGCAGCGACCTAATCTGGACATACCACGTGCTGTGTGACACCTGCATCTGCTTTAATTAGTGGCACAATGACAAACAGGAGAGTTCTAAACAAAACGGGACGTTTGTGACCATGTCGTCAGTGTGAACCACCAAGTGTGAAGCTACAAAAGGTGTCCTGAGGGTGGTGCCAGCGGTAAAGATATAGGGCAGTTTAAATCTGATGTTTTCTCACCTTTGAACCGTGAATACTGCCCAAAAGGATTTTCAGATAAAATGAAAAGGCATCAAATTAAAATAATGAAGCAACAGTAAATGTTAGTTCTCTTTAAAATGAGAGATTTCATGTTTCAGAACAAAATGTTGGTTCCTGAATGCTCCATCACAAAACAAATGATCCTGCCTGTTGTCTGCTGGAGATAGGCACCAGCCTCCCATAACCCTGCAAGGGAAATATTAATAATAATTATGGAAATTGGTTGGGAGAAATGATCAATTAATGTAGACCGAATCAAGACCTTTCAGAAGATTTCACATTAGAAATTGAATTTTATATCATTGAGGGTCAAGAAAACCTTTTTTATACATGAAAAAACATAGAAGCAGCCACTCACCAGTGTTGTTCATGTCATGCGTGTTGAGCATCTGTTCATCTGGAAAAAAAATTTCAATAAATCTTTTGTCAAAGTCCAATTATCAATGTTGTAATTGTTTTTTTTCTGAGGTAAATGGAACACACCATGATGCCCATTGTTAAAGGTGTGGTTCACTGGACAAACATTTTTAAATGATAATTTCTTATTATAGTTGGTCACTCAATATATACTATAGTTTGTCATACAGGCTGAACATGAAAATAGTCTCCTACATCTATCCCCTGCATTAGCTTCTGATAGAAAATAGACGGTGAAACTCTAAAGCCGGGCGCACACTGCGACTTTTTCACTTTTTTGAGCCGATTTTCCAGTCGTGCGAGAATCCACGAGATCGGGGCGAGTTTTGCGCCAAGCGTCGTGTAGTGTACAGGGGGTTACGAGAGGCGATTAACACCACGTGACCAGCTACCGATCAGCAATCGTGTGCTCGCACGGACTTCTGGCGTGTTTAATATTTTGCTCGTCCCTCGTGAGGGTATCACACTGCTGAAGCGGCACTGCGAGCAGCTGCGACCCAAAATGTATCAGAACCGCTCACGGCGCATGCGCAATCCTGCATCAATACCACTCCCCGCTATTTCCCTAATAACACACGTTCGTTTTAATTTCTACATGTTTTTTTTACTCACAAAGATTGTCAAGAAAGTGTGTTTGTTGTGTTCATGTGAAATTAAACTGATCACAAAACACAGATTTACTTTCTTTATTTCGTTTTCCTCATCCAACCCCCATAAATCGCTGTGTGTCCTCCTGCAGCACTCCCGAAGGACAACAGGCAAAACAAGACAAAAAAGTCTGACGTGTTGTGTAAAAACTGCTATTTTAAGCATATTTTTAGGGCCGACGTGTTGCTACCAGACGTACAGTGTGAGCAGTCAGGTCGCTTCCGAGAACTGGGTCGTGCAGTGTGAGCACATGACTCGTGAGATCTGCCCTGCGAGGAAGTCGTACAGTTTGAGCTGAAGCTGAGTGCTACGAGTGAAAAAGTTGCACAGTGTACGCCCGGCTTAAGATTAGAAAATCCTGACAGATCTACGTCACACTGTCACTTAACATTCAGGGACTCGCCCATCTTGACTCACGACGGGGAAGGCTGTTGTTGGTATAACGTCGAGGAAACAGCAGCAGATGTCTCAGTAAGTTTAAGCTATCCGTTAGCATTAGCTACTTCTCAGAGGCTTCTCCAGGCTTGTGTTATTTGTGGAGATAAAACGTCAACGTTGCAAGTCTATGGGAGAGTTGCATTGCTGTTATACATTCCAGGGTAAGATGTCCAAATGAAAATAAGCCTCCAAATCCTGCCGTCTGAAGCTCATCTGTGATGAGAACAACTTTTAGATCTGAGAAAAGGCCAGGGCTGCCAACTTTCACACACTGAGCATGAGACACATGCATCGGACCCTCTTCACACACTCTCACGCCACACCTCAAATACCTTGCTGAAGAAACGCCCCCCCCCCCCCAAGGGTCAGAGTTTACTTTCAGGGTGGCACTAACCCACCATGGACCCCCCCCCCCCCCCCCCCCCCCCCCCCCCCTAGAACCATTCATTCTCCCCTAAAAGCACAGTGTTGCTATTTTGAAGTGTGTTTCTGTGTAAAAGTTGACTGAAAAGCTAATGGCTAATCTGAACCATCAACCGATAGTCGGAACCCAGCTCCACCAACATGTTATGTTTCAACCCATTTTCAAAAATGCAGCGTTATATGTTCAATGCTCTGGGTTTTACCCTATTAATTTTAAATTTCATGGTTAAACAGTACATGTTAAAATGGCAGTTAGCGAGCTACTTTGATAAGCTCAGCTAGCGCAAGAGCGGCAGTGACCTAAAATACATAAATATAATTTTACTTACCGAAAAAAAGTGGAGACTCCTTGGAAGCTCTATTAGTGCAATTAATACCACAGCAAGTCATTTTGTCCAAAAATTGTACAAATAATATCCAAAAAAGAACACACAAACGGCACAAGTAATGGTCTAAGTCAGGGGTCGGCAACCAGTTCCCATCAAAGAGCCATTATTACCCGTTTCCCACAGTAAAGAAAACACTGGGAGCCACAGCAGCTGCGGCGTTGTGGGCGGGGCCTACCCTCAGACAGCAGAGAGCTGCCTTAACCAATCACAACAGGTGACAGCAGCCAGTACCGGTCGCTCGTGTATGTCAAAGTTATCTTTCATAAAACGATAATCAATAAAATGATTTATATAAAATAGATCCAGAAGTTGTAGCCCGTCTCTGCCTACAATATTTTGATATTTTTCACCCTGTTGGTGGTTTTTCTGAGCAGGTGCCACTTTTGTCATACGTTTCTTTTTAAAACATGTTTAGACTGTTCAGAATACAAATCCAGGCTCTGTCACGTTTGATTGTTGTAATTAAACTTTGTAGGTGGGGAAGGTCAGAAAAGGATCCGATCATTTTGTTTTTCCCTCATTTACAGCGACGGAGATAACGGCGCAGTGCGCCTGGCTCTGGTGTTAATCAAGTTAAATTACAGCTCTTTGCAACAATTTTCACAAGAAAACAGAACAGTTAAAAGCAGGGCTTGTGTTGTGTTGACCGGACAGTTCCCGTATTTGACCGTTTATTTTGACGGAGAAAGAGTAGAAAGAATTACCCCGACGCATGCAGACGAACTGACACTTTATTCGTTTCGCACATCGCAGATGTAGCTAAATCACTCAAGAAAAGATTCCCATCTGAACATCTGAGCTGGACACTGCTCAGCGCAGCTCACTGTCAGCACGTGCGCACGGTGCACAGCGAGCTGAAGATGTGGAGGGGGGCTTGGAGCGCGTCGCAGAACCAGAGCGCATGCGGGAAAATTCCTCTGACTGAAGGGTTTTCCAAACCCGGTCTCTCATAGAGACTTGTCACTTAGAAAATGTTCCCTGATTATGAAACTTTGGCTGAATAGTGCTTGTTCCTGTCTCCAATGTGGTGACACATCCAGGAGCCGTCTGAGGAGAAGCCCAGAATTTCATATCCTCTTCAGCTCAGAATGTGCCTACTGGTATATGATTACGCACAAGCGTGACGCGTCAACCCGGTCTCACAGTCAGACCGGGTTGAACCTGTTCAGGTTTACGCAGACAATCTTTACATTTAGAATTAGCATACAGATGTAAAATGTATGCAGTAAAATATAAAGCATTTTATTTAAATATCCAGTCATTATTTTACAAGCACAGAGAGCCGCATCAGATGGATGGAAGAGCCGCATGCGGCTACAGAGCCGCGGATTGCCGACCCCCGGTCAAAGTTGAGAGACTGAAAATTGCTGACCAGTTTTAAGGCGAGGCCGAGGCTCAGGCTGAGGATCATTAGCATCACTGCGGTGCTGGGAGAATGAGGCCCATATGCGTGCTGTAGTCTGGCAGACATTTCAAAAGTTGTCCTGCAAGCACAGCTGCATTGCTGTAGTGTCCAGTTCTTCCTTGATGTTTTAAATGTGTCGCCAGTTCAACATCAATGGGTGATTAACAGACGTCTCCTGAACTTGGGGACATGCTGAACAGGTAACTTGACCTTTGCACCAGGTGTGTTGTCGCAGGAGAACAAGCCAAACATGCAGGGTAATCCCCTTGAAGACCAGGATTGGACCCTGCGGTGTAATGTGAAACTGACGGCTGTGTAAGGATTCCCTCCAGCAGGCCTTGGGTCTTCCCAGAATCTTTTTTCAGCCACCCTAAATTCCTTCTTTGACTTTGCATTCAAGAAGCCAGGACGTCCAGTATGCTAGCAGCAAAGGGCCTAAAGACCTGCTTTACAACAGGTCCTTTGTGAAGTCTTCTGTTATGAGTCGACGCAACAGTACTGGTTGATCCATTTAGTTCTGGAGCTTCTTGTTCATGAATGATTCATGAGACAGAGCTAAGTGACTTAGCAAACAAAAACACATTCCTTTGAAAGTGCTCAAGACCTGGATGGAAGACAAAAGAAAAAGAAGGCAAAGTTCTGAGAAAAACTTTGGATAACCTTTATAAACACAGACAGACTATTGATCAGGAGTTAGACACATTACTGGGAAGTCTGCCTACTTGAAAGCAAAATATAAAGAAATTGGGATTGTTTCAAACCTTCAAACTTTTGTACAACTTTTTATCAATATTTTTTTTACATTTTGTGTTTAAATAAACTTTTATCACCAGGCAGGCATTCATAGGTTAATGCAAAGGCAGAGACATTCATAAGTATAAATGGGTTTTCATTAGCCTGGCAAGCCATATATGAATTTGTAGTCTGGCCACAACCCATAGACAAGAGCTCAGTCATGGGGCGTAATCTTTGTCTTTCAAACTGTCTTCACACGGACAACAAAAAATGTGACGAACTCACCGCTACGGATGTCCGTCAATGGGGCAGTCCACCATACACTGTTGAAGAAGATGCAAATACATAATTTTTCTAAATAAAGGACCCAAGTATACCTCTATCTGCTCTTAACTCAAAGAAAAGCCCAAGTATAAATAATCCAAAGCTGATGCCAAAACCGTTTCAAATGAGTGGTTGCCAGCTTTGTTTTTTTTGGTCAATTACACCAAACCAACAGTGCACTGTGATTGGCCCACCCACCAAATCAACAGAGCTCTTTCTTTGGCAAGACGCAAGACTGGTCGGGCTTGCTGAGGATCTAATGGAGCATGGCTAAATGGTAAATGGCCTGTATTTGATATAGTGCCTTCTAGAGTCCTGGGACCCCCCAAGGCGCTTTACAACACAATCAGTCATTCACCCATTCACACACACATTCACACACTGGTGGGGATGAGCTACAATGTAGCCACAGCTGCCCTGGGGCGCACCAACAGAGGCGAGGCTGCCGAGCACTGGCGCCACCGGTCCCTCCGACCACCACCAGCAGGCAACGTGGGTTAAGTGTCTTGCCCAAGGACACAACGACAGCGACAGACTGAGCGGGTCTCGAACCTGCGACCTTCCGATTGCGAGGCGAGCACTTAACTTCTGTGCCACCGTCACCCCGTTGGCTAGATTGACAAAGAATGCTTTGAAAATTTGAAATGTTAATTATGTATTTTCATCAATCAACAAAAAACTGTGAATGAACAAAAGAGAAATCTAAGTCAAACTGGTATCTGTTGTGACTACCCTTTGCCTTTAAAACAGCATCAGTTCTTCTAGCTACACTTGAACAAAACTGTTGAAGGAACTAGGCTGGTAGATTGTTCCAGACATCTTGGAGGACTAACCACAGATCTGTGGCTAGGCTTCCTCACTTCTGTCTTCACGTAATCCAGACACTCCATGATGCTGAGATCAGGCTCTGTGGGGGCCAGACCACCACGACTTCTTGGTCCTCTTTACACTGAAGAAAGTTCTTAATGACTGGCTGGATGTTTGAGTTACTCACTTTGCACTTTGAAAATTGATTAAAAAAATTATATATATATATATATATATATATATATATATATATATATATATATATATATATATATATACACACACATATATAATTTATATTTCTGAAACCATTCTTTGTTTACAGCAATTTTTTCCACACCTGCCCACAACTTTTGCACAGAGTAGTATAGGCCTATTATTACTATTATTATTATTATTATTATTACAATATTATTATTATTATTATTGTTATTATTATTATAAAAACACGAAATTTTATTTATTTATTTTCATTTCCAGCCAAAATTATTCAGAGCCATTGAGGAAGGTTCAAAGGGTCACTTGTGTTTCCAGAGCCTGAGATTTCACACCCCTGGTTTAAGTAAAGTTTCGATGAGCTGAACCAAAATGCCCGGATCACAAAACAGAAACGGAATTCCCTTCAGTCACGAAAATGAACGTTCAGTTTTCGAACGTTTCGAACGCAAGCCGTTCCCTTTCCACCAATAGGAAGAGGTGCTGTCAGCAGGGAGGCGGGACTTGTGCGTCAGCACGTTAGAGTGCACGCAGTGCCCAGAGAGTAACAGTAAATCAGACAGAGCTGCTCCTCCAGCTTCCAGCAGTGAAACTTTAACCCTGTAACGAGTATTTTTGGCCGCTGATAGGGACCGAAGTGAGATCACTGCGGTCTCTTTCTCTCGGATAGATCTGAAGAGTTGTTCGGCAGGAGCGACGCAGGGACCGTTTTTCTTCCCCCGGGCTCATTTCTGCTATATCTCTCATTTCATATCACACTGGAAATGTCCGAAAACAAGCCGAATGATGAGCCGAAGTTATCTACGACGGACAGGGTGGTGAAATGTGAGTGGTGCTCATTTATTTGTTGGGTTTGAAACAGCTGAAGCAGACTGAATGTGGTCGAAGGGTGGTGTATATAAATATGTATGGAGGAAGAAGGGTGTTAACTGTGACAGCAGATGGAAAGTAGGAAGTGAGGGCAACTCCAGCCTGCACGAATTTCACCCAAAAGAGGAAAAAAAGAGCATTCTGTCTGCCTCCGTGTTTTTGTTTCATATGAAGGCTTCAGCCAGGCATGCAACCAACACCAAAGGCGATTTTCCCTCATTGTGCATGCAACATTACCTCTGCCTTTCTCAGATAAAAGCACCGATCCTGCACCGGGTTTATGTGGTAATACCTTTTTTCTGCGTGTGCACGTCACATGCAGAGGCTCTCTTTGCCCTCAGTGTGTTTACAGGTCTGACATTCCTCCTTTGCGATGCAATAAAGATGAGAATCGGGTCGACCTAACCCGGAATAGGAGCGAACCCTGTTCTGTTTGCGTTTCCCTGCCCAAGGATATGATGAGGCTGTGCAGGACTGATGCACAAAATATGACAGTGTGTGTGTGTGTGTGTGTGTGTGTGTGTGTGTGTGTGTGTGTGTGTGTGTGTGTGTGTGTGTGTGTGTGTGTGTGTGTGTGAGTGATCCTGCGCTAGTTGCAATCAATGCCCATCTCTGATCCCAACAGCCATGTGCATGGATCTCACACATTGTGCAAAAACAGGGAACTCAGCTTGATTATATATTTCTAATCATTAATAATATTCAGATGTGGTTTTTATTCCCATCATTAAACAGGATTCTGTAAAGAATCCAGAAGTCATTAACTGCTCTGAGCTGCTGCTCTGCAGCCATTTTTGTTGCACAAAACAAAAAAGAAATAAAAGCAGTTCTGTTCCAGCTATGCTTTTTTCCATTTGGAGTGTTAGGAGTCACAGAAGATCTTTGGTGTTTCTGTTATGAATCTTTCAACAGATCCTACCCCTACAGTCTCCAGCAAGTTGAAGTCTAATGAAAAATGAATGTGATAATCTTTAATGAGATTTAACATCTTGTCACATGGTGCTGCATCTCCTCCCTGCAGTGCTTCAGGGAAAATCTGTAGTCGTCTTAATCGAGTAAAAACCTATCGATTAGACGTGGGGTGATACGAGATCTCGGTGGAAATGCTGCGGCTTTCTAACCATTATATTAAAATCGTGGAAGCAATCCAGCCCGTGTTTCATGCATCATATTTCCAGAAGTCACTGTTTTGGTAATGCATCAGTATTATGACAACAAAGACGCTGTCTGTGTACAAAGCAGCTTGCAAACATGACTGCAGGCTATAGGCGTGTGAGGTAATTTGTGTTTAGTCTCCTGTTTTGTCATCCAACAAGGTGTCGGTCCAGCTCAGCAGGAGCCGCTGGCATCCACCTGTTTCCTACAGCTCCCAAGGGGCGAGAGCTCCATCCAGATTATTCAGCGTTGGCAGGAGGAAGTTTCAGCTTTTATGTTTTAATCAGATCAGTTGAGAATTTGTTTCATTTCACGTTGCAAAACTCTAAACCAATTGAGAGATGCACTGATTCTGATCTTGAAGACCGATTTTCCCGATCCACCTATGGACTGCAATGGACAAAGTTGGGGACAGACCAAAGTATCTAATAGATATTTACCTTATTTTTAATGTATCACTTCGACCAATGTACCTCTTTTGTTGAGTTGATTTTAGAACGGGCAGCCTGACACTACTATTTAAATGTAGTATGTAGTAATTTCTGAAAAACAACTGAAACTTTTAATTTGCCTGTTTTATATGTAATACTTGGTCAGTTTGTTCCTTTATTTGTTAGATAGACTTTGTTAAATGTGTGATTTTAATACTGAGCACAATTTATGATCATATTTATGAAATTTAGTGTTCAAAGACTGATTCAGGTGCAGAAATGTCCCTTTTGTTATTAGTGCGAGTTTAGCAGGCAAGTAGGAAGGAAAACGTTTAGATATCAGCCCCAAAAAATCGGCAGCACTAATTGGCTGATCATGACCCTCTTCATATTGGTATCAGCAGTAGAAAAACCCATATTGGTGGATCTCTAAACCAAAAACACATTATTCTGATTCAAACGTTTCTGGTGAACTAAAAGAGTTGGATTTCTTATGTAGAATCAGATTTTATGGTTGGCGATGGTGAGTCCACAGACCAGGAAAAGGTGTCATATTAGTTTTTCTACTGCGCTCACAGACAGGAGCAGAAAAAGTGAAATGTCTCCTTTTTTACGTATTTGACCAGGTATCTGAATCTGTGATCATTTAGGTTATTTATTCTCCTAATGAGCTAAAACTAATGATAAATTTAACACACTGTAAAAAAGTCGCCTAACTTTAAGTAAATAACTAAAATTCTGACTTAAATCCTTAATTTTTTGGTTCACATCCATCATGCTTCACACTTGAAAGTTCCTGATTCCAGACACAATCAGACTGAACGTCTAAAAACACCTTTAAAACAGTCGGTGATATGGTTGTCATGGTGCAGTCATGACAGCAGCAGTGCTCCACAGCGGAGGGGGCTCAGTAATGGTGTTTTTCCGTCACCACCTGAGGAATCGAGGCCTCTGTTTCCCAGCTGGTGCGACCCGGTTGCGCCTCCCGACGGCGCGCCCGGTCCTTCTCTGTGAGCTGGGATGGATGACATCTGACATTTGACTTTTGAGAAGAGGCCCCCGCACTCAGACGTGCGCGGGTCGCAGAGATTGTGGTGACAGCGGCGCAGTGCCAGCCGGAGTCATTTATAGAACTGGACGTTAAGTAATGCCACACACTTGAGCCTGTCCTCACACGTGGTCACCTGCGTGCACGTCTGATGTGCTTCGTGTGCGTGAGCCAGACGCCTGCGCCCATTTAGTTCCCATCAGGCCGGCTGCGTGCATGGCAGAAATGAGAAATTACCAGTTGTTCTCCTTAAGGTGCTGTATTGCTGACTCATGCTTTCTCATTAGCATTCATAAACCTGATCATTAGCTTGATTTGGATGGGAGTTCAATGAGGAAGGGAGGTGATTCATATTAGCTTCTAGGGCTAGTTTTGATTTTATTCCTCCACTGCCCTGCGGGGTTACCTATTTTTAATGTTTAAGCTTTATAATATTTGTGCTGTTTAAACTGCAGCACCGCCATCTTTTATTGGAACACTCTCCTCTCAAACACCTGGTTCTGTTTATGTCTGTATTTATCTAATAAACAAATGCCCGTTTAGTGTTGAAGTACCTTTATTAGTCCTTATTCTGTCACTTTTTTAAACTTTTATTCCCTGTAGATTAAAAAAGCTTGGAAGCTGCACGTCAAATCTCATGGTCCCATCAGGACTGGTGAGAAATGATGGGACGGACATGGTGGTAGGATTTCCTGCTCTAGCTGCAAACTAACATTTCTTTTGTTATCATACCATATAATGTGATTTAAAAAGGTCTAAAAGATGTTGATTATTAGATTTTAACATGTCATGTTAAACATTAATTTTTGTTAGAATATTTAAATTTATTTAGAAAATATTTGAGGAGAGATGCACCGATTCCGGTTTTGAAGGCCAATACCGATTTTTTGAACACGTCAATAGCAATTTTAGTGTTTTCGGTTTCTTCTCAAGGAACTACAGGTGGAATTAGAATATGGTGCAAAAGTTTGTTTATGTCACTAATTCAACTTCAATGGTAAAACTAATTTCAGCCTATATTTGTTAGAAATGTGATGATTATGGCTTACAGCTGATGAAAACCCTACATTCAAAATCTCAGACAATTAGAATATTGTGAAAAGGTTCAATATTATAACCCTTTGCGCCCTAACGTCCCCCAGTTGGGGGACTGAAATTTAGCATATTAGATTTTTGTGTGTAAACCCTAAATAAACAGCTAATTATCGTTTTATTTTAATGCCATTTATCTACAGCAGATCCAGAGTCTCTACACGAGCGGCCCATTAACTATTTGGTCCAGGCTTTTTTCAGCCATTTTAAATGAAATTGGCAGCACGCTAAGTCAGAATAATTTTAATTAGGCAGCAGTACTAGTCCTGCTGTGTGGGATTGATCCGAAGGTAATGTCCAGATTTTAATCTGATGGCAGGAGTTACTAATTTATTTATTTGTTGTTTTTAAACTCTGGTTTATTTAAAATATAATTATTTTCATCATTGTTTAATCCATCTGTTAAATGTGAGACAAGACTTTCGCTGGCTTAATTCAGTCAGAATTTATATATTTTTATAGATATATACATATATAGAGAGTGTGTGTGTGTGTGTGTGTGTGTGTGTGTGTGTGTGTGTGTGTGTGTGTGTGTGTGTGTGTGTGTGTGTGTAAAAAGGTTTAATCTTAGCCCGTGCCTGCTCAGAGAATTGATCTGCTGACGTTTCACAGACAGATTGTCGATATCAGACGCAGTCAAGGTTAATTGTTTGCAGAGTGGAACACACACAGAGATAAGCGTTATTAATTGTGCTGTCATATTCACTTATCTGCTCCTGTTACACTCTGCTTCCGTTGGATATTTATTAGATATTAAAACACACGCATGAACTTTTATCTGAATTGGTTAAAACACAGCTTTGAGTACACCAACAGTAAAACGTGCTGTTTCTTTATTTAGGCAACCTCCCCGCATGGTCTGCTGGGAAACACCTTTTTGTCTGGGTGTTGCATCACCCCACACGGAGGGGAAACCCTCAGGTGCCTGATGTGTTCCTCAGACATTCACTCAGGTTGTGTTTTGATCCAAAGGGAGTGCACCTTTCCCACTTATTAGATTAAAGAGGAATTAGGCTCTGTTGTGGATATAGGGCCCAGAGAAAGCAGTGGATTTGGACAGATTAAGATCCATATAGGGGGATAAAGGCGGCTCTTCTCAGAGGTTGTAATCTGACTCCGTGGGTTAGCCGCTGCTCCTGCTAATTCGCGGATAGAAACGGATGTTGGGTTTTTGTAGAAGAAAGGAGGAAGAAATCCTGTTTACCTGCACTGATCGTTGCTAATCTCAT